TTTACTGTCTATTAAGGCTAAATAGAAGCAATTCCCTTTTTCAAAACATGCAAAACAGATGAAGTCTGTATCTGGAAATTCACATTTGTTGTCCTGATAACAGCAATTTCAGGTAATAGAATAACCATGGATTCTGCTGTTTATCTTTTTAATTCCCAAGTGCTGAAGTTTTATGTGCTGCAGATTGTTTTGTCACTTTTACATCGGAGTGAAGGATCATTGTGCTTATTTAATTCTTAGGTAAAAATGTTGGTGTTGTCTTAACCTGGAGAATTAAGATATACCTGCCGCTTTGTGCCCTCTGGTTTTTTTGATCAAGGTGATTTGGGATGATACACTGCTTCCTAGATTCATCTGTTTCAGTTTATCTGAAGAAGTGTGCATGAACATGAAAGCTTATAGCAAGAACAAACTTACAGTGGTACCTCGGGTTAAGTACTTAATTGGTTCCGGAGGTCCGTACTTAACCTGAAACTGTTCTTAACCTGAAGCACCACTTTAGCTAATAGGGCCTCCTGCTGCTGCCGCGCCGCCAGAGCACAATTTCTGTTCTCATCCTGAAGCAAAGTTCTTAACCTGAAGCACTATTTCTGGGTTAGCAGAGTCTGTAACCTGTAGCGTATGTAACCTGAAGCGTATGTAACCTGAGGTACCACTGTAGTTGGTCTCTAAGGTGCTACTGGACAATTTTTTAAATTTTTTTTTATATATTGCACTACTTCCTGTTGATTTATTTTCTAATACCAAGAATGTGAAAAATATTACTATTCATGCTGGTCTGTGTTCTGCAGGGATCAGCTTTAATTAATGTGGAGTTTGTATTGGTCTTTATTTTAGACTTCGGCAGCTATTTCTGGTAACTCCAACAGTGCCAATGTTTCCTCTTCGTCAACTAGTGGCCTTACAGGATGGGCAGCTTTTGCAGCAAAAACGTCCTCCGCAGGTCCATCAACAGCCAAGTTGGGATCCACAACCCAGAGTACTAGCAGCAAGCCAGCTACTGCCTCAAATAATCAAAAACCTGTGGGTTTGTCAGGGTTGGCGACACCCAAAGCAGGGCTAGGCTCAAAAATAGCAACACCTAACAGTGGCACAACCCCTGTTCCGTTTAAGCCCCTGCCCCCTCTCACGTTGGGAAAAACAGGTCTCTGTCGTTCAGTTAGCAGTGACAATGTAAGCAAAACAGGGCTCCCAAGTCCAAGCAGTTCAGCTCCAAGTATCAGCCAGGCTGCTGGTGGAAACGGAAGTGGTGGAACAGCAGGCAGCAGTGGGAGCAGCACCAGCAAAGCAAGTGCGGAATCTGGCAATCAGTCCCCTTCTCTGAAGGGTCCTACTTCTCAAGAATCACAGCTCAACGCTATGAAAAGGTTACAGATGGTAAAGAAGAAAGCTGCTCAAAAGAAGCTAAAGAAATAGAAGTATCTGATGAAGTGCAAACATGTCTCTGGGATCAGTTGAACAAGAGAGTAATAAAGTCCTATAATAAAAGCTACAATCAGATGTCTTTATTTGGTGGCAGAAGTTGTGCTTTCAAGTCGAAGCAGTATTGGATTTTCAGGTAATGCCATATTGCGAACCTGCTTTAGACCCGAAGCCTGAGTATGAACTATTTCTTTAAAATTTTTCAATAAAAATATTGTTTGAAATACATGTGACTTAGCACTTTTCTCTATAATTCCTCTAAGAGGAGTTCATTTAGGAGGGGAGGAGGTGTCTTAATGCCAGCTTTACACACATTTTTGGTGATTTTCACCATGCAACAAGCCTTCCATTTCTGTGGATGTCTCAAAATGCATGGGCAGTTATGTACTGATTGAGATTTTAAATGGTGGGCTACACTCGCTTTCACATTAGGACTTGCCTTCTCTCCTCACCCATACAGCCCCCTCCCATGAGCATCCTTTACCTCCTCTGAAGTGTTGAGGCATCCTATAGATAGAGTACAAGGGGGTTGAGATTGAGAGAGCGTAACCATTGGACGGGCAGGCAGATATCATTGCCTGATAAATAACTTTATTTGAAGGTAAGGAAAATAAGTTTTTTCAGATTTGTAGAGAAAATGGAATAGGATGCTTGTCAAGTGCAAGTCAGCAGCTGTGTAAGAGAAGCAAGCACAAGAATGAAAAGAGGTGTACTTTGTTTTTTAAAGGTCCTGTCCTTTAATAGCAATAAAAATGCATGCGAATGACTGCTGTCATAAAGTATTGAAACCTGTTTTTTGTTTCATGATGACACATGTCAAGATCCATGATTTGCAACAAAATGATCACCTAAGATAATCAAAACACAGCAAGCATTTAGACAACAAATATTTGTAAAAATACATTTTATTAAAAGCAAATACCGTATTACTCTGAGTCACGGACATTGCTGTAGTTTAAATTCACAGTAATAAATCTCTAGTCATACAGGCTTTGTCCCAATAATATTTGCTGTAGATGGAGCTAAGCTTTCCATTTGTGTTTTGATGAACACTTTTGAATGCAAAGGCATTCTTTAGGATTATAACTGAGATCACAAAAAGATGGTAATATAAACATTCGTGAAAGGAAGAAGTACAGATAGTGTTTGGCCTAGATTCTTTGTGTGCCATCAGAATAAGAAGGTGTATATGCAGACATTGGTTTACCAAAGACAGGCGTTAATATCCATAAAAATATTTTGATGGCAATCAGCTCTGATTGAAATGAATGTTTCACACAATGCATTCCAAGAACAATTGCTGCACAAGCACCTTTCAACTGCAGGGTTATTATTTATTATTATTATTATTGCTTTAGCTTTGCTCCTATTCAGCTGAATGAGGCTCCCAATTGTTCAGTTAATTTGATTCTTGATCCTCCAGAATAAACTAAAATACAGTTACACTTCAGACATGATCACAGTTCAGATTGACCAATTGTGTTCCTACCATGATCCCAGTTATTTAGGCTGTTGATGCTATTAGGGTTGCCAGATCCAGACTCAGACAGCTCCTCTGCATTTAAATTAAATAGAAAGGCAAACTTTGTTTTTCCATATGCAATTTGCTGTGGTGATGAAACAATGTGTAACAGAATTTGTCTTTCTATACCACTGCTTAGCAGGGGTGGGGGCCACAAGCAGCCCACAGGAGTTGTTTTACAGGCCCACAAGCCACCCCCGAACTGAGCCGCCGACTCAGCAACTTCCCACACGCTGCGCTAAACCAACGCAGTGCAGGAACCCATTTCCGCGGCGCCAGAAATTGTGTCTGCGCAGACAATGGAAATCGCGTGCCCATGATCTGGCCCACGGAGGGGGCTCCACGGCAGTGAACTGGCCCAGGCAAGGTAAACCTTGCTGACCCCTAGCTTATAGCACAGCAATCCCCAAAGATTCTACACGCTGAATCGGCTGGAGTTATTTGCTGAATTTATCTGCTTTTATAGGAAAATAAATACGTTCAACTAGGTATATTATATGATATGTTTCATGCAAGCCCATCATAAGAGTGAATACTTGAAACAAACACATTCTAGACTCCATTGTCTGTGGTTGGCAACCAACTCCTTACGATTCCACTTGAATGAAAATGAGTTGGAATAGAATTCCTTATGCATCTTTTAACAAATCTAGCTGAAACAACTGTCCTTCATTCCTCCTTAATCTGACACCCAGTAGGTAAAGGCACATTCAATGGCTTGTGGATCTTTATTTCTGGCTTGAGCTAAACATTTTTAACATGACAAGTGCCTGGAAACTAGAGACTTTAAATATCATATTTCAACACCTCAAAAATGAAATCCTGAAAATAACTCTTTGTCACAGATAACATTATCCCTTTCAGGGTCTCAAAAAACCCCGCCGATAAATACAATAAAAACAATATCAAATTGTCGGCCCAACTGTTTCTTCTTGGCCTCCAAAGCTTCATCAGTGTGTGAGTTCAGCCCTTTGCACACCATTCAGCTACTGCTGGAGGAAGGGAAAACTGCTTCATCCCATTTTGAAATGTAAAGCATACCATAAACGGTGCAGGGAGCCTTTCAGCAAAGGAATGCTTTCTTCCTTACGAACCATTTGGTATATAAACAAAAGACAGTGCAACAGATAAGGGTAGTCAACTCAACCACATAGGGCTTTTAAGCTTCATAATCCCCATTAAGATTCAGAAAAGCGGGACAGCATCAAGCAGATACTTCATTCCACCCCCATTTCTCAATTTGAAAGACAGGTAGCATTATTTACAAAGCCATGTTGTTTTCTAGTCTGCTGAATTTCACTGTCACTGCAAAAACATTGGTGTGAGCATTCTGTTTATTACAGAAACTACAAATGCTTAAATGCATGATAGGCTTTCCCCAGGGCAGCCTTCCGTGTGTTAGGAGACAACAGACACACTTAGTAAAAAATAGTAATTTTTAAAAGCCCAAATCCAAAACTCTTTTAGGGGCCCAATGTATTCCTTCTTATCACGAGGCAATCAAATTGGTGCCATGCACTAAATGTCTGGAATACTTATCCTCTGCCCTGTTGCAGGCACATTAAATAGGGCACTAGGGGTGTTTATAGCCCAATCCTGAGCACATTTACTTAGAAGCAAGTCTACATTCAATGGCGCTTACACCCTCCATTAGGTGTGTTTAGATTTCCATTAGGTGTGTTTAGATTAACCTGTGTCTAAGCCAGCCTGTCTCAGTCCTGTTCACGGGTGATCAAAGTCCTGGCTGGGGACGTCAGGACCGGGAGCAAGATGGCGGGGTGGGAGCAGGAATGGGGGCCCAGGAGTCAGGAAGCCAAGAGTCTGAGGGTCAGAGAGCCGGGAGTCAAGAAGCCAAGAGTCCGACGGTCAGGAAGCAAGGAATCAAGAAGCCGAGGTTCAAGGATCAGGAAGCAAGAAGCCAAACCCAGCAAGGCAGGAAGTGTGTTGCTGTGGCAAAGAGCCAAAGGGAACTGCTGACCTTATATCCCTTCCCAGCTCTTGCCACCAGGTGCTGTGAGTTACCAATCGGCCTCACCTGTGAGGCCGTGCCTTGCCTCTTCAGAACAAACTTAGGAAGGCCCCAGTCCTGCAAAGTCCTATTGGTCACAGGGCCTGGCTCCTGCACACACACCTGACACAGCCCTGATGCACAACAACCCTTCGAGGTAGATTTGGCTGAAAGGCAGTGACTGGTCCAAGGACGCTCAATGAGCTTCATGGCTGACTGGGGTCTCTTTGAACCCAGGTCTCTCCAGGTCCTAGTCAGACACTCTAACCACGATGCCACACTGACTCTCCATACACCAGGGGAGATTCCAACAAAAGCAGTGTGGCAAAGTGAAAGGATGCAAGCAATTCAGGACAACAGTTTTTTCTTTGTTTTAAATACCTCCTTCATAAGTTCTTCAGCTCTTGATTTACCAACGAACTTTTGAGCAGACCAGAGCAAAACGGAAGACTTTTGCCTCTGACGTTTCAGAGAATTAGGTGTTGTGTTTCTGATGTTTATGCGTAAGTCATCTTCCCAAGGTAATTTGCTGGCACGTATCCCTTTTGTCCTTTCGCTTCCGCTAACCACCATTCCTTGTTGCCGCTCAGGTCGGAAAAACGAAGGATCCGAACTCGCTGGTACTCTTGAAGGCTGAGCTCCTGGTGGCTCCTTGCTTGAAATGCATGAACCGCATAAAATGTCTGAGAGGGAGAAACAAAAGAGAAAATGTATTTTCGGTCTTAGCTGCTCTTTCAGCATTTGATGGCTACATACACACATTAAAAGCACATAAAGGTAAAGGTAAAGGTACCCCTGCCCGTACGGGCCAGTCTTGACAGACTCTAGGGTTGTGCGCTCATCTCACTCTATAGGCCGGGAGCCAGCGCTGTCCGCAGACACTTCCGGGTCACGTGGCCAGCATGACAATCTGCATCTGGTGAGCCAGCGCAGCACACGGAACGCCGTTTACCTTCCCGCTGGTAAGCGGTCCCTATTTATCTACTTGCACCCAGGGCTGCTTTCGAACTGCTAGGTTGGCAGGCGCTGGGACTGAACGACGGGAGCGCACCCCGCCGCGGGGATTTGAACCGCCGACCATACGATCGGCAAGTCCTAGGCACTGAGGTTTTACCCACAGCGCCACCTGCGTCCCTTAAAAACACATAGCTCCCTCCAAAGAATCTCAGGGACTGTCATGAAGAAAGCCATGTGCTTTAAATGTATGGTATGTATACACCACCAATGGGAAAGGTGGCAGGTCAGTGGGAGAGCATCTGCTAGTCATGTAGAAGGTCACAGGTACGGCTGGTAATGTCTCCTGTCAGAAACCTGGGATATAAGCAACTCTTACGTGCTATGGTGACATGCAGCACTCCTTCTATAAACACAAGCGAGTTTGCAAACCAGGGGCAGCCAATGTGATGTCATCCAGATGTTGCCAAATTACAAATATTGGATGTCCCATCAACCCCAGGCAGAATGGCCAACATCTGGAGGGCACCCCACTGGCTACCCTTGATGCAGGAAGGCAAACAGCAGGCAAGAGGGAACTTCTTATTTTTCTTATTTGCTGATTACATTTCTAGCCTGTCTGTCTTCCCAAAGGAGAGCAGGGTGGCACCTGTGCTATGCTATCAGCTGGATACCTCAGTTGGCTAGAGCATGGTGCCAAAGTTGCAGGTTTGATCCCCCATATGGACAGCTGCATATTCCTACAGTGCAATATGGTTGTACTAAATGATCCTCAGGGTCCCTTCCAGTTCCATGATTCTCGAATCCAGGAGGGCAGCCTCAGGCCTCAGAGTTCCTAGTTCAGACCATAGCTGTCAACTTTTCCCCTTTCTTGCAAGGAATCCTATTTAGAATAAGGGAATTTCCCTTTAAAAAAAGGGAAACATTGACAGCTATGGTTCAGACACTGGACAGCATGACAGGGCCTCACAGTTTCCAGAAGCACCACTTCACAACTTTAGAATATTTCCTACAGGCCGCTGCTAAGTTTGACATAGGTAAAGGGACCCCTGACCATTAGGTCCAGTCGTGGCCGACTCTGGGGTTGCGGCGCTCATCTCGCTTTATTGGCCGAGGGAGCCGGCGTACAGCTTCCGGGCCATGTGGCCAGCATGACTAAGCCGCTTCTGGTGAACCAGAGCAGCGCATGGAAACACCGTTTACCTTCCCGCTGGAGCGGTACCTATTTATCTACTTGCACTTTGACGTGCTTTCAAACTGCTAGGTTGGCAGGAGCAGGGACCAAGCAATGGGAGCTCACCCTATCGCCTGAGATTCGAACCGCTGACCTTCTGATCAGCAAGCCCTAGGCTCTGTGGTTTAACCCACAGCGCCACCCGCTTCCCTCTAAGTTTGACATAGTCTTCTCCAAATCTAGAGCTTCGTTTGACATGCTCTTCCTCTCACCACAGCAAGGGACAACAGGGGGAAAAAAACTTTGAAAAAAAGAAGCCATAAGAGCTGTTCGACAGTGGAATGGTCTCCCTCAGGAGGTTGTGGACTTTCCTTCTTTGGAGGCTTTTAAGCAGAGGTTGGGTGGCCATCTGTCATGGATGCTTTAGTTGACATTCCTGCATTGCAGGTGGTTGGAATCTATAATGCTGTAATACTATGACTTTTGGAGAGGTGTTTGGGCAAAGTAGGACAAACTACTGTCTAGCTTAGCATTATTCACACTGACTGGCAGCTGCTCTCTCTGGTTTTAGACGGGGCTCTCTCTAGTCTGACCTGGCGATGCCAGGGATTGAACCTCAGACCTTCTGCATATGAGGTGGATACTCTTCCACCAAGCCACACCCCTTCCGAAGATTCTCTGAGTGGGCCCACCTCCCTTGTGCCACCTCCTGCTGTTCACACACCTGGAGAGAACAGGTGAGCAAGCAGCTACAAGGAGGAGGGGAATTAAGGTGAACTCACAATGCTTACATCTTGGTCGTCCACTCCGTAGAAGCAATCCACCTCTGTCCCGTTAATAGCTGCCTTTTCACACAGGCTATTGTAGGAAGAGCTGCTTCCGCTTCTCTTGTGCTGCCCTGTGGGTTTTGTGCTGCCGTCATCCACTTGCCTCACGGAGACAAAAAGGCTGATGTTATCAAAGTCGCCGTCGCAGAAACTGGCATCTGAAGCCTCCTTTTGTGCCTTTGCTGGATTGTAGGGCTTCAGGAAGGAGGAGTAAACGTATCCTTTCGAAACTAGGGAGGGAGGAGGAAAATTTAAAGAAATTAGGATGTGCTTCCCTGCTCCCCAGTCCGTCTGCCCTTCATAAAAAGCAAAGAAAGGCTTGCCACCAATAAGGAGTATGGAAGCAGCGGGGAGACCACTTGGTTCCTCTTGTCCACCATGTTCTCTCAATGTACCTAGTCTGGTCCATAATCCCCCCAGTGAGGCTGGGCAAAAAGTCACTGGTGGTGCCTAGTCTTGCAACTAGTGTTGTTGTGATGTGGCAGGCCACTCTGGGTTGGGTGACACAGAAGGGGTAACAAAAAAGGGGTTGGCCCTTTGGGGTTATCTAGGTCAAGAGTGACACCTCCTTTTTTGTTGCTTTAGCCTTTGGAAGTGAAGGAAGAAATATTGTGGCTGATGCCTTATTCCATGTAAGTAGGAGAAATAGCTGCCGAGGTGGGAATGTAGCTGCTACCTATAAATACATGTTTGCCTACTTGATGGGTGATGCTGGTTGTGTCTGTTGGATTTTTGTATTTTGGATCTGCTAATAGTTGTTATGGGCCCAATACGTCAGTTGTTTTAGCTTATATTGATGTTTAAGAGGATCATAGAATCATAGAGTTGGAAGAGACCACAAGGGCCATCGAGTCCAACCAAGGATAAGGATATCTTAGATAACTTATTTAGTTATGTTATCTGTGCTACTATAAAATGTGCATTTTAATTTTCTTTTTTCTTTTGTATTTGACTTCAGTCTGGGATATTTTTAGGATGTTGTAAAGATTTTATTTAAAACATGAAGATTATATATATATATATATATATATATATATATATATTCCTTAAAATATATACTGCAGGACCAAAATTCTGCAATTCAGAAACCTAGTACAAGCAGGATAGAATATAAATTAAGAACAGTTTATGTGTTTTTGTAAACTCAATCATGTTGGAAGTTGCTCTGTTTTGTACCACCAGTGCCAAATCCTTACTCAGGATAACGTCACTCATGCTAGGTTAGGTACTTGTGGTGTGAGCCATGACCAGCTCACAGGGCAGGCTAGAATACTACTAGCAACCTCTGCGAGAAGTCACTGTGGCACAACGTGGAAGCTGAGATCACAGGGCTGTTGCGTCCATATTTAATAACCATCACAGCCAAAGGACATCCAATATTGTGATGCATGTGCCTGAGGACTTACTTCCAGTGTCGACAAGCCATCTGCCAGTACTTCCGAAAGGATCCTTTCGTTCCACGACAGCCACCAATTCTCCTTCGTAGAGATCAATATCAAACTCCTGAGTGGCGTTGCATTTGCGCTTGGCTTGGTACAGCAAGTCTGAGTTGTATGTGGAGAGTATCATGGACCTGTGGCTTTCAGTCTGCCGTGGAAATTCAGGCTGGAAAGAAAACAAAACCCAGCTTGAGACATACTTTCAACTGCAATGCCATAGGAAAGCATATTCAGAGTATATCAACATTCCTGTGGCTGTTTTCTCCACCATATATGACAATCTCTGTCTCATTCACTTTCCCAATCAATCCCCATCACACTCCCTTGGCAAGTCGGTATTATTCAGTATCTCTTCTTCTTCTTTGGTGATCACTCGTAGCCCAGTAAGACTGTCTTCCAAAAACACAGTTTTAACAGTGAGTCCGTAAGTATCTAGGGACGCGGGTGGCGCTGTGGGTTAAACCACAGAGCCTAGGACTTGCCGATCAGAAGGTCGGTGGTTCGAATTCCCGCGATGGGGTGAGCTCCCGTTGCTCAGTCCCTGCTCCTGCCTACCTAGCAGTTCGAAAGCACCTCAAAGTGGGTGCTTCCGGCGGGAAGGTAAACTGTGTTTCCGTGTGCTGCTCTGGTTTGCCAGAAGTGGCTTAGTCATGCTGGCCACATGACCTGGAAGCTGTACGCCGGCTCCCTCGGCCAATAAAGCAAGATGAGCTCTGCAACCCCAGAGTCAGCCACGACTGGACCTAATGGTCAGGGGTCCCTTTACCGTATCTAAATTCAGTAGCTGAATAGGTATTTGAATCCTGGTAACCCATGTCTAAATCTAGCATGTTGCCTATTGGAATACTCTTGCTTATTTCAACACAGAGCCATGGCCAAACCACATACAGCATTCAATGCCCCAATGTATTTAACACACATGCGTCTTTAAAAAATGCAGATAGTGGCCACCGGGTGTGTTGATAATTTAAAAAAGGATGCAGCACATGTGGAAAAGGGTTTGGCTCTTTCTCGAAGTCCTGACAAAAAACACTCATTTAAAGCTATTTTCACAGGGCTGAAACCCTCCATTGGTAGCATGGGAAGAAAGGGTTAAACTTCCCTTCCTTACCTGCTCTAATCCCCGCTAGTTATCAGCTCCCCCCAGGGAATGCTATTCAATATATATTTTTAAGTACACTTTCACATCATGCCTAGTTTCACGCTCATTTCCACTGACCTGGGAAAATGACTGCTTGCACACAGTGATTTGTCATTTCATAGAAGACGGGCCCGATCTAACAATGCCTATGTGAGTAAACTGCTCGTGTAAGTAGGGTTTTTGTGGAAATCAGCTGCTGGGCTCATTGTTAACCATGAACTATTGGGGAGATTGCAGTGCCATGGCATTAAATTCACAGGGTAAAGCTGTGTACAAATTGTTGCAGCGAACAGGGGCTTATTGTACATGGCAGATAGTCTGAGGTACCTGTGCGTTTTACTTTGACGGCTGTAAGATTAGTCCTCTATGAATAGTCATGTAGAGGAAATTTGCCTTCGCCTCCCGTCTTAATGCACTTATCAGTGTCGGTGTCAATTAACGGGAAGCATTTTGAAGTCACCCCGCACAAAAAGTGACAGGGACGTGTAACATCACAGGGCTTGAGAAACCCATAATCCACGGATTATGCTGTTTTAGATATGGAATGGGAAGTTACCGATAGAGGACAAGCAGGACTTCTGCACAGCTCTTGGCGACATTGTGCACTAGACACGTCTAAATCCCAGCACTTCTTTTTTAAAAAAAATAACAATAATAAAATCACCTGCCATCACTATGAAAGGCATTTAAAGGTTTCCTGTGTAATAAAAAAAAATTCACCGGAAGATTAGAATTGCTATACAGATGTTTAGTGGGAAATGTGTCTGCGGACTGAATATGCACAAATCGAAGAGGAGCTTACAACAATGGCATTGCCAAGGGCTGTGGAATGAAATGTCAAGCGTGTTTTGGAGAGGAATGGTACAGGGTGGCGTTTGCTTTCAGAGGAATGCGTTGCTAGCCATACTTTTTTGAAGTTCTGGACCAGGCTAGGTGCAATAAGAGAGATCCCAGGCATTTCTGCCCCCTGCCCAATGTTAATAACAGAGAGATACCCAATTCAGATTGGGAGCATGATCCTTCGGAAAAGAGGGATTAACTCCTGACCCTTGTGCTTTTCCCCTGATTAATGCCAGCTACTCCCCCAAGCTGCATTTCTCTGCTTTCCTTTGGACCACATCAGCGAGGCTGAGAGAGGGGTCTTGTTGTCTGGGAAGCCCAGGACCTGCTTGTTCCCCAGGGAGGTCACTTTGGTGCTGCTAACACAGCAATTTGACTTCCCCCTGAAGGCACACTCCATTGTCTCTTGAGACCGATGGGTGCCAACAACAGCAACACAACAAGAATTCCCACAAGTTGTTATTTGTTGTGCAAGCAGAAAACCCTGTGCAGGGCTTTGTTAGCCCTTGGTTAGTCCTGCCCTTTACTTCTATGCATACCTCCTGGAAGTTAAGTACTGTTAAAACACAACGAAACTTTGGATCCAGACTAAGACGAACTTACACCACATTTAAATCAATGGGACACATTAGTGGATTTCAAGTCCCATGGATTTCAATGAGCTCTTGACTCTATACATCAGGAATGGGGAATCCATGCCCTTGCCCATATCTTTGGACTACAACTCCCATCATCTGTTGCCATTGGACATGTTGGCTGGCACTGATGGAAATAGGAGTCCAACATTGTCTGAAGGACCACAACTTTCCCATTCCTGCCGTGCATATCTCAAGTTTATAAGCAAGATTAGTCTTTTCTTTCCAAAGCAAATGGCTGCTGATTTAACAGATAAAGTATACATATTCATGTATTGAAAGTAGACAGTAGAACAACCCATAGAAAGTTAAGACAGTTGAAACTGACATGCAGCCCAGTCAACTACTGCTGCTGACACAGCAGTAGTTTGTAACAACTCAAACGGGACTTACTCCCAGGTAAAAATGCATAGTAGGATTGGGGCCTTAACAGTGCATGGCTGAAGGAATAGGATTGGAAAGGAAGCTAAAGACATTTAGCTTTCAGTAGATTCAATTGGCAATAAAAATGTGGTTTCTGTATACTAACTTCTCTGCACTGCATTTTGCTTTTCCTAGTTCCCAAACTTCCAACGGGGACTCCTGTCAAATGTATGCTACAAACCTGGAGAGGAGTTGGCTTCTTTTTTTCAAAGCTCAGCTTTCTCTCAATGAAATTTATGCTGTTGTTTTCTTTGACAAAATTCAGACTGTGTATGTCTTCGAGAACCTGGTGCTGAACTTCGCTGATGCTTGGAGACGACAGCTGTAAGTTCAAAAGAGGTTCAAGTTTACATGATTAGTCACAAGCTGTGATGGATCAGGGAGTATATATACATAATGCTGGTTTTGATTCGGCAGGCTTAGAACAGCATCACTGCTTTTTCCTGTGGTGGGGCTTCTGGCAGAAGCTCATCAGGGAAAGCCTTTCCTGTTGTACTTTCTGCAGACACAATGCTGAATTTTTGATGCGAACAACACATAGATTCATAGAATTGTAGAGATGGAAGGGACCAAGAAGACCCATCTTGTCCAACACCCTGCAATGAAGGATTTTTTTACCCAACACGGGGCTTGAACCCATCACCCTGAAATTACCAGCTGAGCTATCTTCTCCCATGGGTAAAAAAAGACTATCCTAGTCTAGATGATATCCTTTATTATATATCTACCTATCCCTTGAGCCATTGTCCTCCAATTCCTATCAGCCTTGGCCACCATGGGAACGACAAGGAGTTGGAATCCAGTTACATATGGAGGGCCATAGGTTCCCCATCCTTAGTTCAGCAAGATATGAATAGGCCCACCTCAAAAGCTTCCATGCTTCCCTCTCCCCTATGGCTAATGGGGGTTTGGCAGCTTTCGTTTCTGCTTTTAACCATAGCCTGATATGTTACACAAACCCAGAACTGTGCAGCTGGCTGTTTGGAAACTTGTAGACGTTAAAATTGACCTGAGTTTCCCAAGACTGACTGACACAACAAACTGGTTAATCACAAGCAGAATCTTCTAAACTCCTCCTTGCAGCCATGCTAGAGAATGAGAGAGGGGAGGGAGGGCGCGAATCAGGAGAGATATTATGCTCATTAAACTAAACTACAGTTTAGTGTGACATTCCCGCACCCTCATTATCTTGCATGCGTGTGTTTGAGGAGTAGGGGTATCCACTAGGACACTCTCTTCCACCCAAACAAATATTTCCTTTGCTGTTTTCATTTTCCTTCCAACACACCACTGCACATAAGAGGAGAACTATGCTTCACACTGCTGCTCAGTTGCATATATTAAACTCATTTTAATACATACACATTGAAAAACACATTACCTAGCAACAATGCTGAGTCAATTAAAGGGAAACAACATCCAACCAGGTGGCACAAAACCTGGTTGAACCAGAGGACGCTAGAGGGCACCCTTCACACACTGGCAGAACCACACTACAGGAAACCAAATAATATGCTAAGAAGCATGTCATTTTCTGGGACAGCGGGGAAGGCAAAACTGTCCAAGCACACAATCATTTAATAACCCAGGCAGCCCAGCCCCATATCTGTTTAATTGAGTTCAACAGGGCTTAATTCCAAATCAATGAGCATCGGACTGCAGCTGTACTATATCCAGGATTAATTCTGGATAGAGATACCCTAAACCACGGTGATTTTTTGCTCTGGTATCATCCAGATCAGACAACTTCAAATCCCGAGTGGCAAGCCATGGAAGAAACCAAGCTGGTTGTTTATCTGGAGAGAGATAAACCACAAGCCTGGGTTTGGACATCGCACTAAACCAAACTGTGCCTTGGTTCACAGCAGCAGCAGCAGCAGGACCAAAGGAGCAAAGCAGCCACAATATTCTCTGCAGGAACCCACACATCTGCACATTCACACTAAATCATGGCTTGGCTTAGTGTTATGGGTGAACTGGCTCATAAAATAGGGCTGCCATATGTCTGGACATAGCTGAGATTTGTCCAGGAAAAATGTTCAAAAAGCGGCAAAAATGTCTGGGGAAACCCAGGCGTATGGCAGCCCATATCTGAAGCGTTGATTTTTTTGATGATTTTCCTTTAAAAAAAAATAATCAACAACTTTGGCCCCCCATAAAAGCTCAAAACTTTTGTGTCCAGATTTTCACTTTTTGAAATATGCCAACCCCATCATAAAACCACAGAATTGGAGGTGGTCCTTGCCTTAATTTCATGCAGCCTGTTAAGTGTGTTGGGAAATGTAGCTCTGTCGGGGTTAAACTACAATTCCCAGGATTCTTTGAGGGAAGCCAAGTGCTTTAAATGTGCATTAAGTGTATGGTGTGTGTGTGTGTGTGTGTGTGTGTGTGTGTGTGTGACCCAAGTTCATATTACAGTGGTACCTCAGGTTAAGAACTTAATTCGTTCCGGGGAGTCATACTTAACCTAAAACTGTTCTTAACCTGAGGTACCACATTAGCTAATGGGGCCTCCCGCTGCTGCCCTGCCGCTGCCGTGCAATTTCTGTTCTCATCCTGAGGTAAAGTTCTTAACCTGAGGTACTATTTCTGGGTTAGCGGAGTCTATAACCTGAAGCGCCTGTAACCCGAGGTGTCTGTAACCCAAAGTACCACTGTATTTGTTGAATATAGGCATTTGGTTTTTAATAATATTTCAAAGGTGCATAGCAGACAGGCAACCTTAATTGTAATCATCTCAATATGAGTATATCTATAGCTGACTTACTGATGTGAGGGATTCCCCCATGGAATAGGATTGCAGAGCTGATGACATCATCCCCCGCAGGAGAGTGACGAGGCAACACAGGCAGTTGCTCACGATTTGCTTTGCTGCCCGGTTGAACGTCTGGAGTTCCTCCACCAGCTGGGCATTGAGAGCCTCGTATTCTTTCCTGGCCAAATCCATCTCCTCTCCCGCCGCCTTTTGGTGGTAGCTATTATAATCCAGCAGTTTGTCATAGCGCTTCTGGATGAGCTTCTGAGGGCCTGGGAAGAGGGCCTGCAACGCTGACAGGGGGACCAAAACCATCTTCTCTACTTGCTCTGCCTAGGTGTGCACAGGTAGGGAAAGAGAGAGAACAAATAAATCTTCACCACCCACCTCTCCTCCTTTAAAGCTGACATTTCTCCTTCTGTACCAGTTATGTATCCACAGAATGGTCTTCCCTCTGAAGCACGTCTCACCTCAACCTTGTATCATTCCTTTGGTTTGATTAGAGTGTCAGACTTGTACCTGGGAGGGCAGGGTTCGAATCCCCACTCAGCCATGAAGTTCTTGGGCAACCTTGGGCTTCTCAGTCTAACTTCCTCAAAGGGTTTTCATTGTGGGGATTAAATGAGGATGGGGAGAACCATCCTCCTTGCAGGAAAAGGTGCTCCTTGCAGGAAAAGGTGGGATATAAGGGCAATAAGACAAATAAATGCATTTTAGGAACTGATGGGTTGTCGCTTTTTAATGATGATGCTAATTATGTAACGTGCAATAATGATTTTAATGTTTCCGTTGGCCATGTATTATGTTTTCAAATTACCGTATTTTTGTAAACCTCCCAATTTCGGAGTGAAAGAGTGGGGGAGGGAATAGAAAACTATAAATAAATATGTGCCCGAGGATTAAGGGTATAGCCCTGATCCAGCACAAGAACTACTCACGCCACATCTGTTTGTGATGCAACCTGATTCCAGAAAAACTGTTGTAAGGCTATCAACACATTTACCCTGAATTTAGAACCCTTGGCCTTTTATTTGTGTTGCTTGCCTACACAAGTACAGAGGCCTTTCTGCTGCAGACATTTCCCTTGAACATGTGGAAAGCTGGAAGGAACCATGTGGCAGCCCTTTTTTACTCATTTTGCCCCTTCATGCCAGTAATGACTGACTAGGGCTGAAATCTTCCTTCCTCCTCATTGTGGAAGGCTAGAATTTTTATTTGCAAGAAATCAGGGCTTCAGGAAGCTGGGTAAAAAACAACAACACACCTTCTGCTGGCTTTGTTGCAGAAGCAACAAACTTCCTTAAACTCCCTATCCCTTATCTTTTGTTTGAAACCAATATCCTTCAAAAACGTACATATCGTTCGCTGGGCTTTTCAGCATTAATCAAGGTGTTTGAAAAGCCATTTTCCTCATCTTCTTTCTCGTGCAGAAAATCTTGAAGTTCGGTTACGTTCTGTGCAGCTAGAAGCGTAGACTCCTGGAAATGATGAAAACAATGAAATGGGCAAAAGATGTGCGTGCTCAGGTGTACACACAAATGGAAGAGGAGGCAAATAAAGGAAATGAAACGGCTAGGTCAAGGTTGGGCAATTTGTGGCCCATCCAGATGTTAATGGGCTGCAACTCCCACCTGACCAGTGCGGCCAATGGTCAAAGATGATGGGAACTGTAGCCCAGCAAGATCTGGAGGTTCCCCGCCCATGTGCAAAGCAGTCTGCATTCCCCTCCAATGCTAGCATGTGTTTTAGTGGATGACATTCCCACTAAGGAAGCTAGAAGTCTGCTTGACTTGATATACACTTAAAATAGAATGAGGTGCACCAATGGATAGCACGTTTCAGAGGATCTCTCATGTGAAAAGTTCTACCCAAGCAGGAAATTATCCCTGCAAAGACCGGACTTTGCTACAATCTCTCTCGTTTAGATTTATCATATTTCCTAGCTGATCCAGGAAGTGTTTTCGGTTTTTCCCATGCTTACATCACCCTGCAAACCACCATCTTATTCTGCACCAGGCCTTTGACCAAGGATGAGGAACCTGCGGCCCCCACAGATGTCCACTTCTCATCCTCCCCAAACAGCATGACCAACAGTCAGTGATAATGGGAGCTGTTGTCAAGCAGCATACAGAGGGACATGGAGCCACCCATGCCTTGGACTAATATAGCCCTAATAGCTTTTGCCACGAGTCACACTAATTGAGGTCTAACCTTCATATCATTATGCAACTTGAGAATTCATCCTGGTCTTTTGATTTAAAATGTCTCATCCAGTGGATTCAAGTTTCACACTCATTCAGAAGCAGCTAATATTCGCTTGCAACATGCAAGTAGCAAATGGATTCTTTTTTTAGTTGTGCTGCATTAACACTCACCTTCAGATGCTGTAGAGACACCGAAATATTCTTCACGCAGAGTTTGACCGTCTTTTCCAAACTTCTAAACAACTTCTCCTCTTTATTAAAAGTTTCATCTTTCACCTAAAACACAGGGCAACACCGAGATCAGGAGCAGAGGCCACTCATTAGTAATTGGTGGAGTAGCCCTAACACTAGCAGAGATATTGCATAAAGTATTTCTGCATTCCTTCCACTGAAGCTACAAGAATAGCTTTAAGTGCTCTTAGACTGTGGTCTCATTCAGACATAGTGATAAATTATGGCTTATCATTATTGGAATGAATGAGCTGAGCCAACCTCAAGCCAAGAGGAGGAGAGGAGGTTGGAAGATTCTGTTGTCATTTTTATCTATGGATTGTTGTTTCTTCTGGAGGCAGACAAACCATGGTTAGTCTTAGCTAGAAAGACACCTTCAGACTTTGGTTTATGTAACTGACTTGTTTCAATTCAAATGAAATGCTAAAACATGGCGAACTGGAAGCTTTTGTGTCAATTTTCAATCTCCTACTCACAGCTGCATCAGAGAGGGGAGGAATGCATAAGTCCAAGGCTCACACAAGCTCATTCACAGAACGTTAAACCATAGGTTAGCACTGTGCCCAAACCAGGCCTATATCTTGTCACATTTCATTTCATTTCAATCCCTTTGCTCATGTTCCCAGATATATCCTTCATCATCTCAGAATTACAAGTTCCATTTCATTCTTTTAAAAGTAATGCTGAATTTATGCAATTGTCATCATAAGGCAATAGTGGCACAAATTTGATCAAATATCCTAGCGGTGGGGGAGAGATGTAGTGTGGGAACCTGAGAAGGGAACAGTAAGCAACCAGTAAGTTGTATCTTCTGCAGAAAGTGAAGAATTGAAGAAGTACTGCGTGTTTTAATGAATGGATAGATACCCAAACAGACATCCTCCACACTGATGAGTCTGCCTTCTGTATAATCAATAAACTTCCACAAAAAGTGGATGAATTAAGGAAGTGTGTGTTTGTGTGGATGGATGGATGGATGGATGGATGGATGGATGGATGGATGGATGGATAGATAGATAGATAGATGTTCTCCACCCTTATGAGTCTGTCTGCTGCCTGGGGTCATGCTCCATATCCCCCCACCATTTGAAGCACAAAGAGTGAATATGATGGACAGGGACTTTTCTGTGGTGGGACCTTTTGATGAACAGCTCAGCCATGATGTTTTCATTGGAGTTTTTCTGGTGTTGCTTTTTAAATTGCTCCATTGATGCTGCTTTAATTCTGTTCTTGATTGCTATTCCTGTGTCTGCTTTAAATTTTTGAATTTTTATGATTTTGCTCTATTCCATTAATTTTATTGCTAGTGAGTTCCACCTTTTCTAGCTAGCAATTTCTAACTTTCATTGCTAGTGATTGATACCTATTCTACCTTTACAGAAAGGTACATATATATATATGAAACAATCGCTGAGACGGCTAGAGCGCCGGTGGCAGATAACTCATTCTGAAGCTGACCGGACACAGGTTAGAGCTCAGTGTCAAGCCTACCAAGTGGTGGTAGCTACGCCGAAGAATTTCTTCACCGCCTCTATTGCATCTGCAGAAAACAGCAGCAGGAGACTCTTTCAGGTGGTTCGAAATTTAGTGGAACCACCTGCTCCATCGGGGCCCAGTATGGGCCATGTGATCTCCTGAGTCATTTTGGACTCATCTGTCCATGGAGGCGCAGGTCAATTCTGTGTCCAGGGCAGCTGTTTATCAGCTCCATCTGGTACGCAGGCTGAGACCCTACCTACCCGCAGACTGTCTCGCCAGAGTGGTGCATGCTCTACTTATCTCTCGCTTGGACTACTGCAATGCACTATATGTGGGGCTACCTTCGAAGGTGACCCAAAAACTACAACTAATCCAGAATGCGGCAGCTAGACTGGTGACTGGGAGCGGCCACCGAGACCACATAACACCGGTCTTGAAAGACCTACATTGGCTCCCAGTACGTTTTCGAGCACAATTCAAAGTGTTGGTGCTGACCTTTAAAGCCCTAAACGGCCTCGGTCCAGTATACCTGAAGGAGCGTCTCCCCCCCATCGTTCGTCCCGGACACTGAGGTCCAGTGCCGAGGGCCTTCTGGCAGTTCCCTCGCTGCGAGAACCCAAGTTACAGGGAACCAGGCAGAGGGCCTTCTGGGTAGTGGCGCCCACCCTGTGGAACACCCTCCCACCAGATGTCAAGGAGAACAACAACTACCAGATTTTTAGAAGACATCTGAAGGCAGCCCTGTTTAGGGAAGCTTTTAATGTTTAATAGACTATTGTATTTTAATCTTCTGTTGGAAGCCACCCAGAGTGGCTGGGGAAAATCAGCCAGATGGGTGGGGTATAAATAATAAACTGTTTATTATTATTATTATTATTATTATTATTATTATTATTATTATTATTATTAAATAATAATACAAATTCTCATGCATACATACATATGCAAATATCTACAACTGTGACAGTGAAGCAGATATGAAGTAGGGGAACAGCATCACCCTAGAATGAGGATAGTGCAAAACTTCTGTCTGGACCACTCATGCAGAAATGTGAACCTCTTTCATGAGACAGAAGCCATAGTGTGTGGCATGAAGTTGTCACACCTGACCTCCTGATAGCTGTGTTTCTGCTACTTATTTAGGAGCTACAGGGAGAGGGATTGAGGCAGCAGGGAGGTTGACACAGTGCAAATGTATCAGCAGCAGCAGTGGATTGGCTCTGCCAGTACATTTGCACCGCGCCAACCTACCCATCATCTCTCTCTCCTGGTAAGCAGCAGTGACTCAGCTTTCAGAAGATCAGGTGAGCACGACAACCCCAACATGCCACCCGCTACAGGATAAAAGATTTTGAACATAGTGTGGATTGCAAGGCCATCCCACTGCAGTTCATAAACGCCTGCTAACCTCCTGCATGCTTGGAAAACACACGTTCGCAAATGCAACCGTTAAAAGTTTTAACAGCAAAAAGAAAAGGAGGAGTGGGAAGCTTAAGAGAAGTGACAGAAATTTCCCTTTGCTTGTTAAGTAGGGTCAGCAAGATATCAGAGAAGCACAGGGGTTGATTTTATGACACTTGCCTAGACTTTCATCTCTCTTATCTTGCATAAAAATGTATATGAGCAATGCATCATTTTAGATCATGCATTTGTCTGCCCCTCTGCTCATTACTGTACTTCTGCAGAATTAATACTTGCGCAAAGTTTGAGAGAGACTCCTATTATTTCAGAGGCTGACCAATACTTGTCCCGATTTGAGGGTTGGCATTTTTATTTGCTTCAGTTTTCTTTCTTTGTATAGAAGAGAGAGAGAAGATGACGGCAACAACCTTGGAAGTGTCAAATCTGGTCTTCTCTTCTAATGCAGTAGGAGTTGCTGCAGATGTCAGAGATGTGAAATGTGAGTGCTCTGAACCTCTAATTAAAGGGGGGGAGGATGCTCAGTCATTCATAAAAGCATCATCTCCTCCCCCCACTCAAAGTGTTTCTCCAGTATTTGAGTTTGAAAAGTGTTTAGAAAAAGAACACCAAACCAGAGAGAATTTACTGTCTGAATAAAAATAGCTTCTCTTCACAATTAAGGACATTTCACGGTGGCTGGCATTGGAAGGCTGCGAGTGCTGCTAGCAGATAGTTATAACTTGCATGTGTGTGTGTTGTGTAGTTTGGAAGATGTGGGAGAGTCACATGGCTCATCCAAACAGGCCTCACTCTGGGGACTGGGAGAACTACATTAGCAGTCTTAGTCAGTGCTATTTTTCTAGAAAAAGAGGAGCCAGAATTCACCATGAACGTCTCCCCTGTTCTCTTATCATGCAATGGTGGCCACCTGAAAGATGCTGGAAGAGAGTTCTGCTGAGTTCTGGCTGAAAAAACCCGTGGTCCTAGTCTCCATATAGGATTTAATTCACAATGGCCACCATCAGTTTGCACAGCTGATAAGCCCACATTAATTGCCCACACTCTTCTCAAGAGCCATCATAATGCCTCTTACTTGCCAGAATGGAGAGATTTTTGTCTCCATGTGTGTAGAAACCATTGGCCTTTGTGTGGCTTAGCATACTGTATCAATGTAATCATTCCATCCATTGCTGTGCCCATTCTTTACTCTAGTGCCAGTGTGGTGTAGTGGTTAAGAGCGGTAGTCTTGTAATCTGGGGGACCGGGTTCGATTCCCCGCTCCTCCACATGCAGCTGCTGGGTGACCTTGGGCCAGTCACACTTCTTTGAAGTCTCTCAGCCCCACTCACCTCACAGAGTGTTTGTTGTGGGAGAGGAAGGGAAAGGAGAATGTTGGCCGCTTTGAGACTCCTGAAGGGAGTGAAAGGCGGGATATCAAATCCAAACTCTTCTTCTTCTTCTAGTGTCACGTACTATGACTTCCAGCTCTGCCTACTCCTGACACGTGGCCCCACAGAAGGTTGCAGGGGGATCCCCCTTGTTTGAGAAACATGAATACAATATTCATTTGGATTCCTGAATCCCTTTGCAAAACAGGGAGCCAGGCTGTGCTGCAGAGCCAGAATGAATGTTGCCTGCTGTGCTCTTAAGTTCTCTTCCTGCCACAATAAATCTATTAATGATGGACAATCCCATCATATGAGCAGCTGCAAAGACTGTGTGGTTGCAGCTCCCTGGCTCCAAGGGGGTGACAGTGATGGTTGGACACTCCTGAACCTCTGTGCTGCATCAACAAGGCCATTCCAGAGCAGAAGACGCAATACAAGCATTGCCCCTTCTTATCCCATTGGAAAAGCAGCCCCATCAGAAACACAGGGCTTCTTATGAAAATGCCAGGCACAGGGCTATCAATGAGCCTTGTGCTGCAGTGCCCAGTGGGCAGTCCTGTCTGCCTGTCGAATTTGATCTGCAAGACCGACCCTGATTAGGGGTGTGGCCAATAGAGCAAAAAGGCTTCTTCACTCCTAGTTCATGCCCTTTAAAACACTCTGTAAAGAAAAATGCCAGACACCTAAATACCTGAGGTTCTCCTCCAGTCAGAATTTTCAGGTGGCCAGTTACTCTCTTCGATTTTTTACTAATCGAGTGAATGTTTAGTCTTGCAAATTTCTCTTTCAGGGATTCATCTTCGTCATTTTTCTTATACTTCAGCACTGCAATTAGAAAAAAACACATCAATACATCAAATCTGCATTTATATGGGGCTTATCCTACTGTCCTTCAAAGTCATGAAGAGACCAACAAAAGACAGAAAGAGCTGAAGGTTACTACCTATGGAAATAACAAGGATAATGAAAATCATTGTGGCCATATAAGCTTTTAAAAATCCATCTCTCTAATTGTTCCTGTTGTTTGTAGTAGCTCCTTTGATGCTATTTACTGCAGAACATATAATTCCGTGTGCTATAATAATTTTCATGCCTTCACGATTTAAATCCCTAGTGAATCTGCTTGACAGAAGCTGAAACATAACAAGGAAAAAATGCCCCAACTTTCTTATACACCTTATGCAAATGCAAGAATCCAATGGTGGACCTGAAACAAATATATTTCATTTTCTCCCTCACTAGTTAAGACTAGTAGGCTGGAAGTCAAATACTGTATGCTGTTTTTCTCATAAACATCTGAGGTCACCTAGCTGGTAACTTGAAAAACAGAATGATGAACAAGATGGACTTTGGTTTAATTCTGCAAGGCACACACTAACATCTTTAAAGGACCCATTTAATTATCACGGTCAGTGGCCGTGTTCAGATAAATTATGGTTTATCACACCATGAATAAGACTTACATCCTGCCCCTCTCTTAGCTAATCCTGACCTACTCCTCTCCTCTCCCACCATGCAATGGAGTTCAGAGGCTTTCACGTTAGGAAGTTTCTTTTCATTAAATATAGCAGGCATGGCCAACAGGTAGATCGTGATCTACCGGTAGATCACTGGACGTCTGTGGTAGATCACTGGCAGATCACTGGCTCCCCCCCAAAAAACCCAAGAACTTTGGCTCTCCTAAAAAAAGCTAAACATTTTAGGGTGCAGCCCATAAAAAGAAGCTCAACAACTTTGACCTGAACCCCCAAAAAAGGGGGTAGATCACTGCCAGTTTTTAACTCTGCGAGTAGATCGCAGTCTCTTGGGAGTTGGCCACCGTGAAATATAGTTTGCACTGTTGTCCAAACCCAGAAAAACCAGACAACTTCAAACCATGGTTTATGAAGCTGCCTTGTTTCTACTAACCATAGTTGAGTTTAGCCAGTTTAGTGTTTAGACACACCCTAAACTGGTGCTGGCTCACCAGAGCAGCTTCGTCACGCTGGCCACGTGACCCGGAAGTGTCTTTCGGACAGCGCTGGCCCCCGGCCTCTTAAGCGAGATGAGCGCGCAACCCTAGAGTCGGACACGACTGGCCCGTACGGGCAGGGGTACCTTTACCTTTAAACTGTGGTTAAACTAAAATGGAAGCTTCCAAACTCCTTCTCACAGAGCATGCACCCAAACTGACATGGAAAGGCAGTTGAAACATAGGTTGAAGCCAAGACTTATTGCAGTTTTGTGAGCACAAGCCAAAAATTACAAGAACCCCACTGGATAAGGCCAAAGGTCCATGTGTCCAGCATCCTGTATTCTCCAGCAGCCAATGAGATGCTTCTGAAAAGCCCCCAAGCCAGGTTTGAAGGAAATAGCCTTTCCCTGCAATTACCCCACATTGTTGACACTGTCTTACCTAAATCCTTTCTTCTTTTAAGTTCATTTATATTTGTATTCATGCCTTTCACAGCAACCAAGGCATCCTGCAGTGCTGTGTGGTCCGGGTGGGACCTGGGAGTTGCATTCAAGAGCTCACATAGCAACAAGGGATACTTCATCACACGTTGGATGGGTTTGATCATCAGAGATCCCATGTCCAGAAGGTTTGGTTTCCCCCTGAAATTTAAACAAAGCTCTGTTAAGTCAACAAATGAGTTCCTGAAGGTGGGGGAGAGGAAGGTCTTAGTTCCTTGTAGTGGCTCCTTTCACAACAAATCCATAACTGGCGAAGCTATTCCTTTTACTGTAAAATATCCAGTGGATGAAATAATATATGAACTTTGGAAAAACAAACAACTGTTATCATGAGTCATTCTAATTGCAGGTATACCTGCTGCTAGCTAATGCTTTATATTCTTTATTGATGTGGCTAATGCTTCCAGCTGTTTGATGCTAGGAGCATTTTCACCCCTGTAAAAATTACAGTTAGTTGTTACAATCAACCATTTAGTTTTGTTCCACTTGCCATTTAAGCCTTCTTGCCATCTTAAAAAAAAAGTATACACAGATGTTTCAAGAACCAGGAGCCTAGGGTGCTAAAACAGTGTTTAGGGTGCTGAATGTGAGATCATATGATTGCTTCCCCCTAAAGTGAATAGCAAGCAATGGTAGGTATCGTCTGTCACCACTATATAGGTACTCAGTTTGATTTTGCCAAACAGATGACATCTTTAAGCGTACCTCTTTATTACATTTTCGCATCAAAGCCAGTAGCAGACAGTGTGACAGGGCACTGCCACTCACCTGACCTCTGGTCAGTCACTTTGCTGCTGCATGGCAGGGGACAGAGGGCAAGGAGGGAGGCAATAGTGTCAAGATTAAATGCACCTTGTGTTATTAGAAAGTTGGCAACCCTAATATAGAAGCATCATCATGGTCAGCTTGTGTATTTGGCAACCCAGTAAGTCAATGCTTGCTTGCAGCATATATGCATTCTTTATTAGTACACAGTTGTACCTTAGAAGTCGAATGGAATCTGTTCCAGAAGTCCGTTCAACTTCCATAACGTTTAGAAACCAAAGCACGGCTTCTGATTGGCTTCAGGAAGCTCCTGCAGCCAATCAGAAGCCGTGGAAGCCCCTCTGGATGTTCGGCTTCCCAAAATAGTTCGCCAACTGGAAGAGTCACTTCCGGGTTTGCGGTGTGCGGGAGCCTAAACATTCAGGAACTAAGCTGTTCCAAAACCAAGGTACGATTGTATAATGTTTTTAAGGCATACATCAAAGCCTTTCATTCTGTCCTATCTTTTCATTTTAAACAGTTTCATTCTTTCCTCTCCTTCATCTAAAACATCTAAAAAATCTTAAAATTCCAGCAAAGATGCAAGCTGGGGAAGATCTAGGCTTGTTGGAAAAAGGTCTTCAGTAGATACTGGAAAGGCAGCACATGTCTAATATTGAACAGGGGTGAATTCCAAAGGGTTGATGTCACACCACCAATGGCATGATTCCTACATTGTTTGGAATGGACCTCTTGATAAGATGGCACAGGGTGAGATGATCTTCAAAAAATAAAAATAAAATCCAGCATTAGCAACCTTACTCTTCCTTGCTTGATGCTGCACCAAATATAGAGTTATGCTTCTGCAGCACAATTGATTTTAAAACAGCAGCAGCAGCAGCAGCAACTTGAAATTACTGTTGTTTTCCTCAGAAAACCCATGCGAATGCAAATATTTAAAAGCAGCTTCAGGAATGGCGTGAGGTAGATTTCAAGTGTGCCTTTGCTTCCACAGTTAGTCTTTGGATGGCTTCCCAAGTGATAAACAGCTCTCTGCTTGCATTTGTGCATGCCAAAATCTAGCAATATGTGCTGGAAAGATAGGAAGTTTGCGAAAAGATAATGTTTCCCTGGGGCATGAATTGCTACCCAGTTCAGCCCATCTAATTCGACCGAGTCAGATTACCCAGCGATAACTCTCCTTAGATTAGTTGTGTTTTTAACATGCATGTTTTCGCATTACACCGCAACCCTGGAGAGGGAAGGAAGGAGAGATAGAGAAGGAACACAGTCTCCCTGCATAAGTTAAAACAGACCTGTAGCATCTTGTGACATACATTGTGCAGAAAATTAAGCCGATAATTCATCTGTGATGCTTCTTCAGCCATACACCGTCTTCGTGCGGATTTAGTAAAAAAAATTCTAGCACCATAGGTAGCTACACTGATCTCATCGCAAATTGCTGCTACTCCTTTACACTCATATTAACGCAGCTGGCTTAATTCTGACAGAATCCACTTCTTCTGCAGATGGCAGGCAATGAAATGAAGTCATATGCTGAATAACAACATGTAGCTTCTCCCCTCCCCCCCTCCAAAAAACCCTTGAAGTTGATGCAATTGTAAAATGGAATAACCTCATGTTCTGTCGCCCTGAGCAACTTGAAAGGAGGACAGGGGGCGCAAAATGGAATAATGATCACAGATATTCTCGATTCATGAAAAACCCAGGTAATCAGGCCATCGTTTAAAATCCTCTTTTCCTAAAGCCCTATCTGCACCATACGCTGAAAGCACTTTTGTGCCACTTTAAACAGCGATGCCTTCCCCCAAAAGAATCCTGTTTTAGAAACTAGTGAGCTCAAAGACAGTGACTGGAACTGATCTTGAACATTGACTTGGGGCAGGGGAGCAACAAGGTTTTGAATTTGTTGGACTAAGCCTCTTTAGCTCTCCAATGCTAGAATGGGGATTCTTAGCAGAAGTCAGCAAATGATGGGTTAAACTCAACAGGATGAATCATTTTTTCAGAGGCTCAAGCAGGAGGTTGGGGAGAGAGCTGCTTGAAAGCCATTTTCCAAGCAGCAAAAAGGCTTTCAAATAGTGCTGTGCTGTGCTTTGAAGTCTCAACAACTGGTCCTTCAAGGCACAGCATCACCTGGCATCGTAAGTGGGTGGCCTCCCTAATAAAATGCCATTTTACAGTTTAGTATTATTTTTATCTTGAATTACATCTTGGAAGTGCACCATGATCATTTCCTTGCTTAGGCCCTCTAAACATATTGATCCAACCCTGCTGTAAGTATTTTGCGGGAACAAGTCAAGCACATACTGAGAACTTTAAAGGTAAAGGTAAAGGGACCCCTGACCATTAGGTCCAGTCGTGGCCAACTCTGGGGCTGCGGTGCTCATCTCGCTTTATTGGCCGAGGAAGCCGACTTTTGTCTGCAGACAGCTTCCGGGTCATGTGGCCAGCATGACTAAGCCGCTTCTGGCGAACCAGAGCAGCACACAGAAACGCCGTTTACCTTCCCGCCAGAGCAGTACCTATTTATCTACTTGCACTTGACGTGCTTTCAAACTGCTAGGTTGGCAGGAGCAGGGACCGAGCAACGGGAGCTCACCCTGTCATGGGGATTCGAACCACCGACCTTCTGATCTGCAAGTCCTAGACTCTGTGGTTTAACCCACAGCGCCACCCGCGTCCCACTGAGAACTGAGAACTTTACATCTGTGCAATTAAAGTGGACTAAAGGAGTCTTGTTGCTCTAATGCGGAGTTTCCCAAACTTGGGTCTCCAGCTTTTTTTGGACTACAACTCCCATCATCCCAAATTAGCAGGACCAGTGGTCAAAAATGATGGGAAACCCCTGATCTAATGCAACAAATCTTGTTGTTGTTTTCAAATTTGACTTTCTACAGTTTGGAAAGCGACTGAAATATGTGAGATAAACAAATCATTAATGGGAAAATGTATAAATACTCTGCAAGCAAATCAGGAGGAATTTAGGAGGAATCACTCCATAAACAATTTGAAATGAATGCTCAATAAAGACTGGGCATAATCTAACCACTGCATAAGCTTTATACAAGCAAATCATGATGAATGGTGAATAATTGGTTTATCTATACAGCAGTGTTCATTCTCAGATGTTGTTGGACTACAACTCCCATTATCCTCAGCCAGGCTAGTCCTTGGTTAAGGATGATGGACCCTGTAGTCCAACAACACTGGGGACCTAATGTTGAAGAACACTAATCAAGAGGGACTCTATTTTTCTCTATTTTATATATGAAGGGCATTCTGTTAATAATAATAATAATAATAATAATAATAATAATAATAATAATAAACTAAGGCAGGAGCAACATTCAGTCGTGAATCTCCTTACCTATAGCGTCCTGCTTCTCATTCCAAATAGGCTACCAATATTTTAAACTTCCCCACAACTGGGGAAGTTGCTCCCTTGTTATGTGATAAGTGATGAATCAATATGTTCCAAGCTGCAAATAGTTTTAGAGGAGTCCAGCAAATGGGACAACACAGTGACTCTCACTTCATAGAGAAGTTATCTGGTACATTATCCCAGTTTAGGGAACAACACTAGCTGGCATCTCGCACTACAGCACACTTATCCTAAAGGCTAATTCAGCTCTGCATTGAACTCAGCGACAGTTATATGGGCAGAGAAAGAACCAGGCAATTTAGCTTGACAGCTTGGGGGAGCTGCTACCACACAAGAAAGTACAATATTTCTCCCTGCTTAAACTGAGCGGCAAACATCTATCCTCAGAAGAATTCTGATTTCATCGTGGCCACATATTATTTCTGTGTGCGACTGTCAAAAAATTATTCACAGATCTCACAGAGGTATTTATTCTGCTATAATCGCCAATCTGCTGCCTTTGCTGTGAGTTATGGGGCTCGGCACAGAGGCAAGAGAAAGGGTTACTGTGAAGCTGAAATGTCTTGGAGGCAGGTGTTTCCAGGGCAGGAATCCACAAGCTAAAATGCTCATTAGGGTTTCCAAGAACAGGGACTGTTATTGTGCCTGGATTGTGAAAGCCAGAAGGTTTCATGGGTCCCCCTTATTCAGCCACCACGGGGTCATCCATAAACTGGCCTCTGAAAGGTAATTGCTGATGAATTATTGGCCAATTTACATCCCATGTGCAACTCACAGTTTATGGCATCTGTTTTTGAAGGCGATAAGCGCACATTAATTTGTGGAAGTGCGGCACAAGCAATTTGTGGCAAGTCTGTGCTCTTCTTACACACACACACACACACACACACACACAGGCTTTTCTCTCTCTTTTACAGTGGTACCTCGGGTTACATATGCTTCAGGTTACATACGCTTCAGGTTAGAGACTCCGCTAACCCAGAAATATTACCTCAGGTTAAGAACTTTGCTTCAGGATGAGAACAGAAATTGTGCTCCGGTGACGCGGTGGCAGCAGGAGGCCCCACTAGCTAAATGGTGCTTCAGGTTAAGAACAGTTTCAGGTTAAGAACAGACCTCTGGAACGAATTAAATACTTAACCTGAGGTACCACTGTCTATGGCTTGTCTTTTGTTTAAAGCTCCACAATCTTCACTCAGAATCCCTTGATCTTTATCTGGAGAGGAAACTTTTTAATTTCTGCCTCATCCCATCCAAGAGGAATCTATTGGATGGACCCATTCATTCAACACAGACATTCAGTTTGCTGTAGATCCCCAGAAAACTCATCCACGGTGCATGGGAGGGGTTTATTTTCAGCCTGAGGCAAAATAAGTGGGCGGGACAACAGGTGTGACACATACCTCTGTACAGTAAGCTACACTGCAGCCAGTAGCATGAAGAATAGCAAGAAAGAGGCATTATCACAGTTCAAGGCACTTGAGGCGGGTATGTGGGTAGGACCAGTGAAGGGTATGACCTAGGGTGATGGGGTGTGGCCTAGAGTGGAGGTATGACCTGGGGAGAGATTTATGGAGTGACCTACAAGACCATTTTGGACAGGGCTATAGCTAGGGGGTGGTGAGGCGGGACCTGGCCAGGGGTGCAGGCGAGGGGGGGGAAGCAAAAATGGCTTAAAATATGTCCATAAATAAAAAAATTGATTATTGCCTCATAAGAAAAGGTTTTTAATAGAGGGTGAATTGAACTGGGGTGGGGGTTGGAGGAGAGGCGGAGAGAAGAGCTAATTTGTCAGCGGCTAGGGGGCGCAATCTGGACGGTTCTGCCAGGGGCGCAAGATCACCTCTGATTTTGGAACCCTTGGCCTCAAGTTCCCAACCTCCGGCCCAGTGTACTCTTTTCATGGATCAGTCAGATATCAATCTGGCAGCATAACATATTATTTCCCCTGAGATGACAGCCTGATGAAGACTGCACAAAAGCCATTTCCATTGCTTTAAATTCAGCTAAAAAGAACCCCGTCAACTGCCCCCTTGCTCCTCTGCATCTTGCTCAATGGCACAAATAGCAGGGCTAAGAGGAAGAGAACAGCAGTCTCTGCTTTTGTAGAATTCCAGCTGGAAAACTGGAATTTCAGGGGGAATGACCGAGACACGTGAAGCAGCAAAGCCACAGCTCAAGTCCTCTTGTCCCAATGGTCTTCAGCCCTTCCCAACCAGTGGTTTGTGGAACTGCAGATTTATTTATGTATTTGAATTTTTATTCTCTGCAGTTTCATAAAATATATCAAAGTGGTTTACAACATAAAATACAATAAAATCCACCTATAAATGTCTCCTTTTAAAAAAACCAGTCAAATTATTTTGAATGTAATTCTTGTTTTTATGCTTTGTTCTGGTACTACTTAGGCTCACCTTCATTTTGAAGGGGGAAAGTGGGATGTAATTTATGAATGAATGAATGAATGAATGAATCATACCAATTTCCCAAACATGTTGCAAGTGCTGTTGGATTCCCACTCACATTAGCCCCAGTCAGCATCTCCTGATACGTACCTAGGTCAGCAGAATCTGAAGGACCATAGGTTCCTCACCCCTGCTGTCCCTCACCCACCTCCCTAGAGATGTTTAGGACTACAACTCCCATCAGCTGGCAAGGTAAAAATGTAATAATAATAACAAAAAAGAAATATGGTACATACCCTTCTTCATATATCTTTCTGCCAAGAGAGAGAGAGAAAGAGAGAAACAGAAGGCTCTATTAACAGTCTGATCTTCATTATATTGATTTAAATGGCCAAGTCCACATGTAATGCTAAAACATTGTCTTTACAAGGATATAGTGCAGTAAGCCTTGATTCCTGGACTCCCCCTTCCAGCGCAAAGAGGAGACTGAAAGCTTCATTTCTGTTATAGATTAATCATAGTTTAGGGTAACATCCGTACCCTAAACTGTGGTTAATGTTACTATGGATTTTTTTTAACAAGCCAGATTCTTAAACCATACTTTAAAAAGCTAAACTGATTCAACCAATCATAGTTAACATTAACCACAGTTAGGGTTCAGGTGACATGGCCAATGGTATAAGCTAAAATTAAAAGCTTTCAAACTCTTCCTTGTAGCCATGCAGCAGGAGGAGGGAGAAGCAAGCGAACCAGATGCTTGCCTAGGCCTATTGTTGCAACACTAAACTATGGCTAGCTGTTATGTCCAAACCATACCAGTGGGAGTTACTTTTGAGTAGACAAGTTTAGGATTTGGGAGCAAACAGTGTTAACTTCAAGGAATACTTAAATCAACTGCATTATTGGACTTCAATCACTACCAAAATAATAAGGTAACCTGCTAATAAGGCCTTTTGTGTTTTTGTTGTTGTTTAGTCGTTTAGTCGTGTCCGACTCTTCGTGACCCCATGGACCAGAGCACACCAGGCACTCCTGTCTTCCACTGCCTCCCACAGTTTGGTCAAACTCATGTTAGTAGCTTCGAGAACACTGTCCAACCATCTCGTCCTCTGTCGTCCCCTTCTCCTTGTGCCCTCCATCTTTCCCAGCATCAGGGTCTTTTCCAGGGAGTCTTCTCTTCTCATGAGGTGGCCAAAGTATTGGAGCCTCAGCTTCAGGATCTGTCCTTCCAGTGAGCACTCAGGGCTGATTTCCTTAAGAATGGATAGGTTTGATCTTCTTGCAGTCCATAGGACTCTCAAGAGTCTCCTCCAGCACCATAATTCAAATGCATCAATTATTTGGCGATCAGCCTGCTTTATGGTCCAGCTCTCACTTCCATACATCACTACTGGGAAAACCATCGCTTTAACTATACGGACCTTTGTTGGTAAGGTTTTTTAAAGGTAAAGGTAAAGGTACCCCTGCCCGTACGGGCCAGTCGTGTCCGACTCTAGGGTTGTGCGCCCATCTCACTTAAGAGGCCGGGGGCCAGCGCTGTCCGGAGACACTTCCGGGTCACGTGGCCAGCGTGACGAAACTGCTCTGGCGAGCCAGCACCAGTGCAGCACACGGAAACGCCGTTTACCTTCCCGCTATAAAGCGGTACCTATTTATCTACTTGCACTTAGGGGTGCTTTCAAACTGCTAGGTGGGCAGGAGCTGGGACTGAACGACGGGAGCTCACCCCGCCACGGGGATTCGAACTGCCGACCATGCGATCGGCAAGCCCTAGGCACTGAGGTTTTACCCACAGCGCCACCCGACTCTTACATATGTCCTAATCAGTCTTCCCCAATCTGGTGCAGCTCTGAGGTTTTGGACTGCCTGGTCAGGTATTACGGGAGTTGTAGTCTAAAGCATCTGGGAAGGCTTTTCTAGACTCTCTGGGGTTATACACAGAAGCCAAAAAGTTCCAATAAATCTGATCTTACAGCTTCCTGAAAAAGCAGTTTGTAATGGGAAGGGGCATAATGAAAAGGCTTGGGGGGCAGGCAGCAAAGACAAGCCCCAATATACTTATGTACAATTTTACAAAATGAGGGTTAAGGATTTTATTATGGTGATAATTTAATTTAGACACTTAGATGTGCTCAGTGCATTAAAAGGATGGAATGCTTCAGTTTAAGATGGTGCTTCCCTGAAGCAACCTTTTTTTTTATTTAAAAAAAACATGTTTTGGTGGCATCTTGGATATTCTTTCCATTTGGGATCCCTCTAATAACAGTGAAATATATTCATATTTCCAGGAAAGGAGCATAAGTGTATGTTCCTAGTAAATGCCATAAAACTCTGGATTTATAGGAGATATTTTGTTTTATATCCATTTAAGCTCTCCCATGACAAGCAGTGAGCAAGAGATGGAAACAACCATTTGAAAAGTTCTTACTTTAAGGACAGTAGGCAGTCACGTATATGCTGCTTCAGTTCTTCGTCTTTTTCGTAGGATTCCAGCAGGACGTGTGCATCATCGTGCTGGTAACAGTAGATTTTATATGTGTCTTCTAGTAGGTCTTTCATCTGCAAAAACACTTGCCCTGTTAAAGTGCAAACAAAAAAGCCAAGAAGATGAAAAAAAGCACAACGTCAGACAATTTAAGGTCTGCTTCAAATATGTGAACCTGCCAGGCCTTGATGGAAGACCTGCTCTCTGTCCCATCTACTCACAAGATCTTATATTCCAGTACAAGAGACAGGGACTTCTTGGTGGTGTCACCAAGAATATTGCATATGAATACCTTCCTGGGTAAGATTTGCTGGTTTTCTCTTTTTGCTCCGTTATCTAAACATTTTAAAACCCAAAGCAGCTTTTGATGTGCATTTTAACTCTTCTAATGTTATCTGCTATATGCTGGAACCTTGAAGATGGGCCAGTGGTCTGACCCAACATTCTTACGTTGCTAAGAATGGTGGAAGTTGTAGTGTCTCTCTCTCTGTGTGTGTGTGCATATAGATATACATGCACTGATGATAGTCATTGTTTGGATGGGGAGCTTTTATCCATTTCTGCAGTCATACAATCAATCAATCAATCAATCAATCAATCAGTAGCTGAACTGGGTTCCACACAGTCACAAAAACAAGTCACAGAAATGAAGTCACAAGCCAGTCACAAGTCCCATAAAAAGAAGAACAAGTTACAGTCAAAAAAATGAAAAAGCCACACCAACAAAAACACAAATAATAGCAAAAACAAAAGCTCCTCCGTGTTGTGTGGGTGCTCAGGACTTAATAGCCTATAGACTCAACAGGAAGCCTCTGATTAGCAGCAGAGGACTCAGTTTACAAACAGAACACACTCAATAGGAAGCGGAACATGTTCTGCATCCAAGGCAAAGTTCACAAACTGGAACACCTACTTCCAGGTTTGAAGCGTTCTAGTTCCACGTTGTTCATAAACTAAGCTGTTCTAAAACCAAGGTACCACTGTATTTTGTTTCCCACAGTGGCCAGTCAGATGCCCACAGGAAGCCCAAAAGCAGGGCATGAGGGTAATAGCCCCAAAATGGCATTCAGAGACATCCTGTCTCCGATTCTGGAGGTAGCAAATGCAGCCATCACGACCAGCAGCCCTTGGCTATATTTGCGCTCAAAAATATTTGTTTTATTTTTATTGTCTTTGTTTAAGACATTGATATCCTGCTTAATCATTATCAGTTCTAAGCTCTAAAAGCAAAAACAAAAAGGAAACCACACAGAAAATGAAGCAATAAAAACTCATCATAAAACTGAAGTCTACCTTAAAATGCCTGCTGGAACAAAGGAAGTATTGGTCATGCATCTGAGGTTCAGCAAGTATGGTGCCTGTCGAATTTCAGCTGGCAGGGAGTTCCACAGGCTTGAGTCGGCTGCGCTGAATGCACAGCTTCTAGTATTTATGAGCCATGCAGCTCGGCCATTGGGGGAACCACCAACAGACACTTAAAGATTTATATCTCTTCCCTTCCCCACAACAACTGAACATTTGGAAACTTTTCATACTGCATTTCCATCTTTGCATATTACAGGGAAGTACAAAAGAGGAAGCGTAAGGGAATTGTGCTTCCCTTTTGCACTGCTGAGATAATGTGTGCTTTTTATCCTGCCCTTCAACACCTGACACACCTGCTGAACTTCTGCATGCAAGACTGCTCTTAAAGTCATAGAAGCAAGGCGGAAGAAAGGAAGAAGAAAGGGGGAGAAGAAGGCTGTTCTTTGGCTGTAAGAGAAAACAGCAAACAAAATGAAACTATTTCCCATTTAAGTATATGACATAATTAAGAGTAAAGGTAAGGTGAGGTAAAGGTAAAGGACCCCTGGATGGTTAAGCCCAGTAAAAGGTGACTATGGGGTGCGGAGCTCATCTCACTTTTAGGCCGAGGGAGCTGATGTTTGTCCACAGACAGCTTTCCGGGTCACGTGGCAAGCATGGCTAAACCGCTTCTGGCGCAACGGGACACCGTGACAGAAACCAGAATGTACAGAAATGATGTTTACCTTCCCGCCGCAGTGGTACCTATTTATCTACTTGCACTGATGTGCTTTCAAACTGCTAGGTTGGCAGGAGCGGGGACAGAGCAACAGGAGCTCAGTCCGTCATGGGGATTCGAACCGCCGACCTTCTGATCAGCAAGCCCAAGAGGCTCAATGGCATGGACCACAGCCCCACCCTTATCCTATTAAGAGTAAGGCCCATTAGATATATAATGCAGATGCCAGTTGGTTTCTACAGTGGGTATGAAATTGTTTTAACTGTTTTTTTATATTCAAATGTTTATATCTATTATGAATTAAATTGTTGCATGCATGTTTCATTGTGGACGTTCTTGTCCTTATTCTTTATTGTGGAAACATCTCAAGATCTGTCATAGAAAGTGATTCATAAATATGAGAGAGAGAGAGAGAGAGAGAGAGAGAGAGAGAGAGAGAGAGATGCTGAACTATAACAGAACAAAACACGGCCTCATCTGGTATGTCAGCTGCATAGAGGCTGGCAAATAACATTACTTTCGTCTAAGAAGGAGTGCATCTCTATTGTACATTTCTTTAGGCTTCTGGCTAATTCCAGCCATCCTCTGACTTTCTTTTGTGCCTAATGACTGCGATGAATGGCAGATACCAGGGAGGGAGGGGAGGGGGGTGAATTCAACCGACAAGAGGTTAAATGTGCAGCTTTCATTAAAGACTGTGTGTCCACAATCTGGCTAAATGGGGCCATGTCCTTTATATTTCAGATATACAAAGAGAGAGCTCTCCACCACTCACAACATTTGCTTTCCTCTTTTAAGCAACAACAACATACCAGGCGCACCTAGTCAGATCACGCTTGGATGTTGCAGAAACCTGAAGGTTGCTTCAAACAGCAATTCTTTAAAGCACCTCCAGACTGTTTGTATTTTGGAGGAGGGATTCAAGAACTTTAGCTTTGTGCATTTATTTTATTGACTGCCTTTGTGCCCACCTTTCCAGCCTAGTCTACCTCACAGGGCTGTTGTGAGGATAAAATGGGGGAGGGGGAGCTCATTTGAAGTGGATTTTGCTCTAGTGAAACAAATCTACTTACCAAAACACGCACAGAGAGAAACTTTTCATGGTTTGGAAAGTGATGGGGAAATAAACTGAAAAGTATGGGATGAAGGAATGATTAACGGGGAAAGGTGTAAACACCCTGCAAACAAATCATGGTGACTGCAGGATGAGTGTTCATAAACAAACTAAACTGGACAGTTAGGTCCAGTCGAATTCAATGATGGGGTGCAGCTCTCATCTCCGCTTTCAGGCCAAGGGAGCTGGTGTTTGTCCGCAGGCAGCTTTCCAGGTCATGTGGCCAGCATGACTAAACCGCTTCTGGCGCAATGGGACACTGTGACAGAAGCCAGAGTGCACAAAAGTGTCCTTTACCTTCCCGCCGCAGCGGTACCTATTTATCTACTTGCACTGGTGTGCTTTCAAACTGCTAGGTTGGCAGGAGCTGGGACAGAGCAACGGGAGCTCACCCCATTGCGTGGATTCAAACCACCAACCTCGGCAAGCTCAAGAGGCTCAGTGATTTAGACCACAGCACCACCCGCATCCCTAAACAAACGGGAAGGAATGCTCAGTAAAGACTGGACATCATCTAATCACCATTTAAGCTTTGCACAAGGAATATCAAAATGAATGCTCAACACACAGGTCATCAGTAGGAGCATTTACTGTCTAATGGCATGTTGCTGGGCACGGATTTCCCCTCCCTTGCTGTCCAAAATACAGTCAACCCCTGCCAGACTGACCAATGATCTGGGATAATGGGAGTTGTAGTCCAGCAACATCTGGAAGACCTCAAGGTTCCCCATTCCTGCAGCAGGGGAAAGAATGCAAGATTTAACAATCCTGCATTAAAAACAACAGCACCTCCTTGCCCTTGGAAAGTTAACCTGCTTCTAGCTAACTCACTGCCATGCTGGTTTCCTATGTACAAGGAACTTTTAAACAGGGGGAATTCCCCACTTGCCTTCTGGAGTTAAACCATGATGGATGGCTGCAGCAATTGTGGGAGAGAAATGAGCTACTACACAGGGGCACTCCTCCCTGCCCCCCACATCTCTGCTTAGCACAACCCATGCTGGGGGGTGGAGGAGGGTGGACAGCTGGAAAGGGAAAGGCCCTCATTTCCCCCCTCTTCATAGCCACTTTCCCTGAAAAAACTTCCAAGGTAGGGTATTCAACTTGATGAAACTACACAAATAAAAAAAGAGGGGTGCAGGAAGCATTTGAAAATAAGCAAAATAATAATAATAATTTAGGTAGCCAACATGTTCTGTTAAGACAAAAACAATCTAAAAGTAATATCTTTCTTAGGAACCACTTCAAAGATCACTTCAAAGAAGTTAACAGACTTTCAAGTCCATCGAAACTCTGAATCAGGCTGGAGGTTAAGCTGAAGAAACAAAAGGGGAAGCAAGGAGGAGAGAAAGCAGTTGTTGGGCAAGGTGAAAATGACCTGGTCTTTAAATAGAAGGCGGGTGGATGGCGGGGAGATGTTACTCATTAACCTTAGGGTGCCCTTGATATAAATCAGGGGTGGAAGACCTTTCTCAGCCCAAGGGCCATTTTCCCTTCTAGGGAACCTAGAAGGCTTGGCTGGAAGCAACTGGAATGACAAAGACTAATTTATTCATACATCCCTTCTAACCTACATCTCTAGGCAAGAAGGAAGCATGTCTGAGTTCAAAGACACAGGCAAGGCAAAAGCAGTCAAGGAGGGTGCAAAGCAGGGCAAGAGAGGGGTCTGGATGGGGAAGGGGAGCAGCCTGGGGAGAGGAAGAGAGGCCTGGAGGGAGGGATGCAGTCAGCACCCAAGCAGAAGGTTCCCCATCCATGCTGGAAACAGAAGACTAGGTGAGGCACAGCTGCTTTGGATCCATTTGACTCTAGTACTATTCGGACACATGTGGGTTAAAAACTTGCATTATATCAGGTGGGGAGAACCTGTAGCCCTCCAAGTGTTGTTGGACCACAGGTCTCATCATCCCTGATCACTGGCTAAATGGCCTTGGCCCAGTATACCTGAAGGAGCATCTCCACCCCCATCATTCTGCCTGGACACTGAGGTCCTTCTGGCAGTTCCCTCACTGAGAGAAGCCAAGTTACAGGGAACCAGGCAGAGGGCCTTCTCGGTAGTGGCACCCGCCCTGTGGAACACCCTCCCATCAGATGTCAAAGAGAAGAACAACTACCACACTTTTAGAAAACAACTGAAGGCAGCCCTGTTTAGGGAAGCTTTTAATGTTTAATATACCACTGTATTTTAATACTTTGTTGGGTGGGGTATAAATAATAAATTATTATTATTATTATTATTATTATTATTATTATTATTATTACCAGGCAGAGGGCCTTCTCGGTAGTGGTGATCCCCCTGTGGAACGTCCTGACTTCAGATATCAAGGAGACATAGAACTGCACAACTTTTAGAAGACTTCTGAAGGCGGCCCTGTTTTGGGAAGATTTTCATGTTTGATGTTTTATCGTGTTTTTAATATTCTGTTGTGGTTTTCCCAGCCAGATGGGCAGAGTATACATTTAGTATTTCTTCTTCTTCTTCTTCTTCTTCATCATCATCATCATCATCATCAGAGATGGCACCTAACAACAGCTAGAGCAGAGCTTTCCAAACCGTGTGTCACGGCACGCAAATGTGTTAGTTGCAGTGTGCAGGTGTGTCGTGCTAGCAAAACTGAATTACTGAGTCACAAAATGATGCATGTCTAAGAAGTATATCACCAATATGAAAAGTTTGGAAAGCTCTGACCTAGAGACTTGCAGGTTCCCTATCTCTACTTTATATGTTGTCAGCAAAGAGACATTCCAGTTAAGAGACGACCAACGAACGTCGTCTTTTATTCCCCATGTCTTTAGCATGTAGGATCGTTACTTTCCACGCTGCATGAATCCACAGCTGGCCTCATGATTATGGGCCTGCCTTTGCTGAACGCTAATTGTTTCTTTTTTTATCCTCCAGTTATTTATTGAAAGAAATGGCAGCTTGGGAAAAAGCACGGGCTGGAGAAATGTGCATTTTATTGCATTATCATTATTCTGTGCAGCTTCGAAGAGCTCACAGAAGACAGCAAACATACCGATTACTTGCTTGGCCGGCTCCACGTCCGCCGTTGCTTCTTCCAGTGATGACAGCAGCCTGGTTGAGATCTGATGGACGGATTCAATGTTGCTAAATAAGCCGTCTACATCGAGCCTAGCAATCTGGTGAAACACAAATGTTGGACAGCAACAGTCAGGGGGGGGGGAATAGTAAGGGGATGCTATTTATTGCTGACCCTCCCCTGCTATGCCATTTTTGCCGTTAGATGCCGTTTCAGCAAAGCCTTCTTATTAATCCTCTCATGTGGAACAATGGCTTGCATGTGCAACATTGGTTGTTTTTCTTCAATTAATACATTTCGGGCTGACACAGTTCATTGATTAAATACACAGTTATTTGAGATATTCCTTCGGGGATGCCTTGCGAAAGGAAATATTGGAATATACGTTGGATCCAGAGCAGACCTACTGAAATCAATGATATTTGTCCATCATCGAATTGTAGAATTGGAAGGGTCATCTAGTCCAACCCCCAGCAATACAGGAATCCTGCCCACAGCTGTTCCTGGGTGAGCTCGAACCACCAACCTTCTGGCTAATAGCCAGACACGCTAACAGATCACATCACAGGATATGGGATGATCATTGTTCAAACTTTTGCCAAAGACATAAAGATAATAAAACCCAACTTGGTGACAATTGGGGAGGGGGAGGAGGAATTATACATTTGATTTATTCTATTACTTAAGGCAATCTCCCTTAAAAAGGTAAAGGTAAAGGACCCCTGGCAGTTAAGTCCAGTCGCGAACGACTCTGGGGTTGCGTCGCTCATCTCGCTTTACAGGCCGAGGGAGCTGGCATTTGTCCACAGACAGTTTTTCCGGCTCATGTGGCCAGCATGACTAAGCTGCTTCTGGCACAACAGAACACCAAAACCAGAGCAGCGCACGGAAACGCCGTTTACCTTCCTGCTGGGGCGGTACCTATTTATATACTTGCACTTTGACGTGCTTTCGAACTGCTAGGTTGGCAGGAGCTGGGACCGAGCAACAGGAGCTCACCCCGTCGCAAGGATTCAAACCGCTGACCTTCTGATCGGCAAGCCCAAGAGGCTCAGTGGTTTAGACCCCAGTGCCACCCGCATCCCTAGAATCTCCCTTAGAAACACACAAAACAAAGCAATGGTGTAAGGGCAAAATTAAAGACATGAGAAAAATCACAAAAATCTATAAAGAGATTGCCAATGTGGTGCGCTCCAGCTGTTGTCAGACTCCAAGTCCCATCAGCCTCAGCAGCATGGTCAATGGTCAGGGATGACGGGAGCTGTAACATCTGGAGAGCATCCCACTTTGTTGGCCCTGCGGTAAGTTAAATCAGAAATCTAATGAAATTAAACCTAAATAGGTACAAATTTGACAGGTGTTGGAATATTCAGGACAGGTAACAGAAAGCCCTTCTGCACACAGCACATGTTAAACTATGGAACTTGTTCCCACATGAGGCAGTGATGGCTGCCAACCTAGATGGCTTTAAAAGAGGACTGGACAACCAAAAATAATTATTATTAAGATTTCGAGGAATAAAAGAAAATCACGATGAGAATATCGAAGAAGTAATAATAAAAGCCCTAGCATCCTGGTTGGAAATCCAGAAAGAGGACATCTCTATCTGCATGGACAGAGATATCCAAATCCATATGGCAGTATAAAAAACCAAGAATTAAACACAAACTTCTAATAGATAAAAAACATAGAGGTGCTCTAGCACTACCTGACCTAAATTTATATTACGACACTGTCTGTCTAAATTGGCTAAAAGAGTGGATTGTATTAAAGATGGTGATTTGTTAGATCTAGAAGGATTTAATAATTGTTATGGTTGGCATGCGTATTTAGCTTATGAAAAAGGGAAAGTACACAGGGGATTTATGAATCATGTCATAAGGAAATCATTATATAAAACATGGACAAAATATAAGGATCTTCTAGAACCGAAAACACCATGGTGGGCAGCACCTCTTGAAGCAATTACAATAAAAAAGAAAAATATGGAATTAGAATGGGCCACATATAAAGATCTGATTAAGGAAAAAGACAATAAATAAATCAGTAATTAAAGATTATGAGGAAATTAAACCACACCTTACGGGTTGGATCCAATACCATCAACTGCACGAAGTGTTCAGGACAGATAAGAAAAATGGTTTCTCAAACGAACCTTCATTATTAGAAAAAGTGTTATTACAAAACAAAACCAAGGTAATATCAAAAATGTATGATACATTATTGGAGTGGAAGATCAAAGACGAACAGGTCAAGGAGGTAATGATCAAGTGGGCTTTAGATATTGGGGAAACCATTAACTTAACAGCATGGGAAGAACTATGGAGAAAGAACTGGCAATTTACAGCCTGTGAAGTATTGAGGGGAAACCTAATCAAGGTGTTTTATAGATGGTGCTTAACACCTACCAAAATAGCTAAAATGTATAAGACAAAAACAAATCTGTGCTGGAGGCGTGGAAAAACAGAGGGGACACTTATACATGCTTGGTGGACCTGTGAAAAAAATCAAAAGCTTCTGGAACACAGTATATGATGAGCTTAAAAAAATGTTTAAGTATAACTTTAGGAAAAATACAGAAGCTTTTCTACTAGGGATAACGGACACAGGTATAGCAAGAGTAGATCAGAAAATATTCCTCTATGCCACAGGAGCAGCAAGGATCCCAACTGCTAAAAACTGGAAAAAAGAAACTGCCAACAAAAAAGGAATGGCAAGACAAACTGTTAGAGTACCGTATTTTTCGCCCTATAGGACGCACTTTTCCCCCTCCAAAAATGAAGGGGAAATCTGGGTGCGTCCTATGAGGCGAATGCAGGCTTTCGCTGAAGCTTGGAGAGCAAGAGGGGTCGGTGCGCACCCTGAAAGCAGAGCGCCCGGCACTTCGGGAACACATCCGCAGCTTAGGCAGCCCTGCGGGAGGTCCCGCAGGGCTGTCTAGGCTGCAGATAGCAGCCTGCTTCTCGGAGTGTCGGGCACCCTGAAAGCAGAGTGCCCGGCCCTTCGGGAACACATCCGCAGCCTAGGCAACCCTGCGGGGAACGCAGGGCTCCCCACGCTGCGGATAGCAGCCTGCCGCCCGACGGGTGGGGCGCCCTGAAGCAGAGCGCCCCTCGCGCCGGACAGACATCCACAGCGTGGGGAGCCCTGCAGGAGTTCCCTGCAGGGCTCCCCACGCTGTGGATAGCAGCCTGCCACCCGGCGGGCGGGGTGCCCTGAAGCAGAGCGCCGCTCGCGCTGGGCAGACATCGGCCAGCCCCACAAGCTCGGGGGACAGCAGGGAGGCACAACGTCGCCATCCCGCAGTTCCTCGACCTGGTTCGGTTTCCCGACCTGCTTTTGGGGGGAAAATAAAGGAAATTTTTTTCCCTTTATTTCCCCCCAAAAAACTAGGTGTGTCCTATGGGACGGAGCGTCCTATGGGACGAAAAATACGGTATATTGAACTGGCTAGATTAACAGATGCAATTAGAGATCACCCTAGACAAGTGTTTCAAAAAGCATGGGGAAAATGCAGAGAATACTTCACAAAACAGCGCCCTAAAATACATACCTGGACTTCTTTTGATTAATGTCTGCAGGAGACTTTGTGGATATTTAACTTATAATTAGAAAAATCTTAATAATTATTCATAAAGGAAACAGTTTATAAGAAGTAAATAAGGAGGCCAGATACAGGATAAAGGAAGTCTTTTATCTGGTTGTTTGTATTGTTGTATGTTAGGCTCACTGTACGTCATGTTCACATTTAATGAGGGTGGATTTGTGTATTGGGGGTGGGGGGTTGTGTTATTTTGTAAAAAAAACCCCAATAAAAATTTAAAATAAGTAAAATAAATAAAAGAGAACTGGACAGATTCATGGTGGAAGAGAGGGGATATTGATGGCTGCCATCCATGATGGCCACTCTCTGCCTCCATGGCTGGAGGCAGCAAAGCTTCTGAATACCAGTTGCTAGAAACCACAGGAACATGGAGTGTGCATTGTGCTGAAATCCTGTTTGTAGGTTTCTCACTGGCCTCTGGTGGGTCTCTGTAAGACCAGGCCTGATCCAGCATGCTTCTCTGATGCTCTCAGTTGCTGCCCATCAAAAACAGTTCCTTTGGAATCATTCGAAAACAACAATCCAGCTCTCCTTTGCCCCCATCTGTTTTTGCCTTTTAAGATGAAGGGAGAATGACTCAGCCTGCAAAAATCGTGGAGCATACAGCAAGGAGCAATGCAGGACGCTAACAATAGTGTTGATTTTGGCAGATAGGTGAGCACCTTCAAACATGCCTGCCCATTAGTATTCATTAGTAACAGAACTGTGTATTTACCCAGCCGCTTTCAGAATACAGCCCTAAAGAATCAAATTGCACGTTGTAGTAATGGGAACAATCATACACCACAGTAATTGCCAGTGGGAGTAATGTTTGATTACAGAGCCCAGTAACATTTTCAGTGCATAAGAAACTTCAAAGCAGTCTCAGCTAAATTCTGTTCTTCATTCAAGAATAACAGATTTCCTGAGATTTGTCCTGAGAAGAATAAGTCGGTAGCCACTTTATTAAAAAGAAACGAACAGAGCGTACAACTGTCAAATTGTAGGTTTGGCCGTAGTCCCTCTAACAGCACAATCCCATGCAGTGTGTAGGAAGTTAATTCAGAAATAAATACCACTGAATTCAGAAATAAATACCACTGAATTCAATGGGTCTTACTCCCATTGGGATGTCAATTCCAATGTTATGATTATTTTAAAGCCATCCACGGGAATTCCATAGTTTAACTAAGGGCTGGATAAAGAAGGACTTCCTTTTACATGTTTAGTTGGGTGCACAAGATCTCTTAATTTCAGTTAAGGGCCAACATATTACTTCTGCACTGACCCAGAGACAGAAAGAAAAGTCAGCATGTTAGGTGTCAGTGTTTTAAATAGAGCTTTCTCTGATCAGCAAAAATATGTTTCAAAGTTATACTGGACTGACACCCCCTCCCCAAAAAAGTTGGGAAGGAAGAGGTATTCTTGTAACATGACACAGTTGTGGAAGCTCTGTGCCAAGGCTTCAAGGTGGGCTATGATATAAGAGTGCAATTGTGGTGCAGATCATTGACAAGTTGCAATTAGTCCATCACTCCTGCTGTATTCCAGCAGGTGAAAACAGCTCCTGCCCACAGAGCATGCTGGGATTCCCAACAGGGTTTTGCCTTGATAGCTCTGGGAAAACAACAGCATGTTGCCGTCTAAATGGTAGCTAGACGGCTTTGAAGCCCCTGCTGAACAACAGAGCGGCGGAGTAAAATCTGCATGGAGAGATATAATTGTAGTAAGCACTTCCATTAGCTTCGCTGTCTAAACCACAGTCCCTCAGGACTTGTTCTGCTTCTCGGCAAAGTATTTTCCCACAGTTGCTGTCCACAGAGCCGTGGTGACTTTATCTAAACGGTGCAGCGCTTTAGAAAGAATGTTGCTGAAGGATCACATTGTCCGCAAAACTGGTAGGACCAGCTAGGGCTTGAAGAAGGAACTTGATGGTTGGTGGGCTTTCTGGGATCTGCTCAAGACTACAGAGACATGGGGAAAGCATAACAGTGATAGTCCATTGCCTCCCCTCACCTCGGGCCTACAAATGTTTGCAAGCTGGGATGGTGTCTGGGATAGAGCCAGTGTGGTGTAGTGGTTAAGAGTGGTAGTCTCGTAATCTGGTGAACCGGGTTCGCATCTCTGCTCCTCCACATGCAGCTGCTGGGTGACCTTGGGCCAGTCACACTTCTCTGAAGTCTCTCAGCCTCACTCACCTCACAGAGTGTTTGTTGTGGGGGAGGAAGGGAAAGGAGAATGTTAGCCACTTTGAGACGCCTTCGGGTAGTGATAAAGCAGGATATCAAATCCAAACTCCTCCTCCTCCTCCTCCTCTTCTTCTAGTTTAGGTCTTCCTTGGCCTCCACTTCAAGCCCAGAGGTGGGAGATCAGGACTCTTTCCACATCACATCCTCTCCTCAGCCCTTCACGAGCCCTGCTTCTCACTCTCCTTGAGTGCTCTTGCCTGGCAATGACGTGTCCTTGGATTCTGGGTCATGCCCCTTGCTTGCTTGGACTGAGGGCAGAAAGGGGTCTGTCTGTGTGTATGTAGAAACTAACTAGCCTACTGTACAACCATATAATGTACATGTTCTTCTCCTTCTCCTTTTGCTTCTGGCCCATGGGGGCCTGGAAGGGAATGCTTTCCTTTGGCTGAAAATGGCCTCCCACTTCTGCTTTCCTACCTGTCTGTCATGACACTACCCGTCATGAGCCAGGAGTCAGCTTCGCCTACTGAACAGCAGCCTGAAGGGGATGAAGTTGGAGCGACTCCACCTGCAGCTGATGAGCCTTCACAGAAGAAGAGGCACTGATGAGAACCAGCTGGCTCTGGGCTTCTTGAACGGAGCTCTCAGCAGTAGTCAGATGCCGGAAACAACGCCTGTGGTTCCCAGCCCTACCTTGGTCTCCATCTCGACCCTTGGCTCTGTGATCATCAGGATACCTGACCTCTGGGCTGTCAGGCTTTATATGTGGATTCTGCTCTCAGGCAAGTGTTCCTCAGAGGCTCCTAACCCGTGCTTGCTCAGCAATGGAACTCAGTGAAGGCTGCGACACTACCTTTGAGCACATACCATGGTTTTCACTCCAGGCAGTGAATGACTACCCCTTTCTACTGCCCCTAACTCACCTGTCAACCATCCATTCAAACTCAACTCTGCCTTGGCTGCTCATAGCCAAGAGAAGAAAGTATCCTAACCTTCAGAAGGTGTCTAATCCAGAAAAGGCTAGAGCAATCCTAAGGTAGGATGTCAGGTAGTTCAGGTAGGATGTGTCTATGATATAACAGATCTGCCAACACATCTGAAGCTTGGCAGATCAGAAGACAGCAGATTCACCAAACATTTCAGCCCAGCAGATCTTTTACAAATGTCCCCATTTGAAAGAAGAGTGATGGGAAGATTAGCTACAGCAACTCTGATTCAGGTCCCTCTCAGGGGAATGCATTTAGGAGGTCCACAGCTGACATGCTCCATTTCAGAGCCCAGCACTGGCTAGAGCCAACCGAAGCATCACTGGCAAGAGCTCTCCACCCATCAAGGTCTCCACAATGGTGGAGTGCCCCCCATAGCAAAAAAACAACAACAATGGGGAATACGTCCACCATATCTGGGGGGACCCAGAGGTGGAAAACCTGTTGTCCCCCAGATGTTGCTGGACTACAACTCCCATCATCTCTGACGATTAACCATGCTGGCTGGGGCTGATGGGAGCTGGAGTCCCACACCATCTGGAGGGCCAAGCGTTTTATGACAGTAGGGTAAGATTTCTCTATTGGTTCATCTCTCTCGGAGTATGCTAGATGATGACTACATTTGTTTATCATTTATGTATTAAACATATTTGTTACCCACCCTCCACAAAAAAAACCCTGGGGAATAAAATTGCAAAATTCAATACCTATATAGCAAACAGTTAAAACTACAATCAACCAATAAAAACATTTATATAAATAAATAACCATCGCGCTGTCCCAAAAGCCTGGTATTAAGCATATTTCAGGTAACATAAAATTAAAAAAATACAAATAAGTCAGAGGAACATGGACAAAAGCAAAGGAAATTCTTAATGTGAATTCAGTCGCTATTCATTGTTGTTGAGCAGAGTAATACTGAATCAATATCTTTATCAGAAACTTGTCCCTGCCAAAACATAGCTGTGATAACCCAAGACTTCCTTACCTGCCTTCCTCTCAAGGGTTCGACCACTATTCTGATGCACAGTTCCAGATCATTGAGATAGTCTTTTTCGGTCTGGACCATTTCTGTAATTATCTTGTGCCTTCTAGCCATCAGACGCCTGTTCAGCTGTTCTTCACTTTCCAGGGGTGAGCCAACTGGCCCCAAGGACCCTGCTTGTGGTGCCATTTTTTCTGTAAGAAACAAACACCACTTCTGTTTTTTTCTTTATTTTTTAAAAATATCAGTAAGGGCTAGCAACTTTTGCTGCTTTCAAACAAACCAAGGTGAAGTTCCATCGTAGTTTGTCATAAGCAAAAGCTTATGAACTTCTCACAGCCGTGCCAAAGGAAAGTACGAGGAAGCATATGAGCCTGACGATCACCTCAGCGTGTTTGCAACACAGTAAACCATGGCTTGCCTTGCCTTTCAAACATAGCCACTCACATCATTTTGATATATATGAGAGTGGTAGGAAGGATACCCCCCTTTTCTACAGAAAACAGCAGAAAAACCCATTAGGACAACTCTGAGTTTGCTATCAGCTCATATTTGCTGCATTATAGAACAACCCTAACCTTTGATTTGAGCTGATGGAGGGGATTAAAGGTAAAGGGACCCTGACCATTAGGTCCAGTCGTGGACGACTCTGGGGTTGCGATGCTCATCTCGTTTTATTGGCTGAGGGAGCCAGCGTACAGCTTCCGGGTCATGTGGCCAGCATGACTAAGCCGCTTCTGGCGAACCAGAGCCGCGCACGAAAATGCCATTTACCTTCCCGCCGGAGCGGTACCTATTTATCTACTTGCACTTTGACGTGCTTTCTGCCGCAACAGAACACCAAAACCAGAGCAGCGCATGGAAACGCCGTTTACCTTCCTGCTGGAGTGGTACCTATTTATATACTTGCACTTTGACGTGCTTTCGAACTGCTAGGTTGGCAGGAGCAGGGACCGAGCAATGGGAGCTCACCCCATCGCGGGGTTTCGAACTGCCGACCTTCTGATCGGCAAGACCTAGGCTCTGTGGTTTAACCCACAGCGCCACCCGCATCCCGCATTATAGAACAATCCTAACCTTTGATTTGAGTTGATGGAGGGGATTAGGATGCAGCAATTTCCTTCCACCTGGCTGTGCCAGCATCTCTGTGCACACCCCAGCTGGGTCTGCCAATGGCGTAGGCTATGAATGGGCTACCACTGCTGCATTCCCATTGGTGGCGGCCAATGTAAGCCTCCCAAATAGGGCAGGACTGGAGAAGGGGTCAGCCACGGTTGGTTTGGGTTTTTAAGGAGGTCCAGCAGCACAAGAGGAGACTGCTTCAATCTCTCTGCCCTGCCAGCACAACAAAAGTATTTTAAAAACCACCTGGCGCTCTCTATCTTTTGGTAAATGCATTGCAAGAGGTTGAACTAGATGATCCTCTACAGTTCTATGATTCATCCTCCAAATGAAAGGAATCCTAAGCAGGTCTAACTTCATTTGCACATTTTCATCTCCTTGCTTCTTCCCTCCCCTCACAATCTGAGTTTAGATTGTAAGCTTCTTGGAGCAGGGACCTGTCTAGTTTATTTATAAAGCGCCATACACGTCTTTTGCACTACAGAAATAAATGATACAAGGACTGTTTTCACAAATTACGTTCCCAATGTTATACTGCACGAATTAAAAATATGAAATTAAACCAGCTCCCCCTTTGGATGCAGTGTGCTGCCATTAACGCTGAAAGGGGGTTAGTGTGGCCTTGGAAATCAGATCTCTGTCCAATTGCACTGCTGAGTTCCAGCACCAAGGGCCTTCTGGTGGTTCCCTCACTGCGAGAAGCCAAGTTACAGGGAACCAGGCAGAGGGCCTTCTCGGTAGTGGCGCCCACCCTGTGGAACACCCTCCCACCAGATGTCAAAGAGAACAACAACTACCAGACTTTTAGAAGACACCTGAAGGCAGCCCTGTTTAGGGAAGCTTTTAATGTTTGATGTATTACAGTATTTTAATATTTTGTTGGAAGCCACCCAGGGTGGCTGGCGAAGCCCAGCCAGATGGGCGGTGTATAAATAATAAATTATTATTATTATTATTATTATTATTATTATTATTATTATTATTATTATTATTATTTTATAATATTACTAGCTTTTGAGGGCGGTGTAGAAAAATCCATAGAATTTTATCCATCTTCTATGGATAAAAAAAACAACTTCAGAGGTAACATAGAATCAGTGTGACAGATGCAGCCACAAAGTATTTCTTGTTTATTTGTTTATGTACTTATTAGTCACATTTCTAGATCATCCTTCCTCCCTGGGCAGTCCAGGGCAATCCACAACAAAATATAAACATGCATACAACAATAACTTTTAAAAATACCTTTGTAAAACTCAGAACAATGAAAACACACCAATCAGCAGTCATTTTTGTCCCCTATAAGAGACCATCCTTTCTTTTGATCCCCTGTGTTTTGCAGATAATGTGATTTGTTTTCTAACTAGCTCAGTCGAGGGCTTCTACGTTCCAAGTCAAGAGCTTGCGCATCCTACTCTTGATTTGATAGTAATGGCATGGAAGTTGGAGTAATGTACCCAAAAGCACGTACTCCAAGCACCAGACACCCACCTCTCTCAATTAGACATTTGCATCCACAGCAGGGTGGATGTGGGGGAAGGGAAGCCTTGCTTTTGGCTCCTTGCCATTACGCAATACAATAGGAGCTCGGTGGTTTGCTTGTCCTTGGTGGTGTCGGGTTACATGCCTGCAAGGCTCTCCCCGAGGGGATGACATTGCCAAATAAGCTACCTGTGTCCTTTGCAAACAAAAAAAAAGTATATTGGAAAAAATTAGAATAATAAAAACAATAGTAAAAAGCGAACCATTTCCCATGTCATGCAAGGTAAATATCTGCACTTACCTCCACAGGTGTAATGGGGTGTGTGTGCGTGTGTGATTCTCTGAGTGAGAGAGTGGCAGGAGAATGTGTGTGTTTGCAAAGCCCTTGGCAAGCTGTGCAGCTCTAAACTCTGCAGCAACTCTCTGTGCATCAGCTTGCAAGAGGTGTGTTGGGGGCAGTGTGGGGACAGGCTGAGGGAGGGTCTGCCGCCAGGAGTGTGGATATTCCAGTCTTTCCACTGCATGGATTCTTCCATTCAAGGATTTAAATAAGCCCTTTTAAGTGCGCAAACTTTCAGAAAGCGCACCCAGCTGTGCTACATGCCACTTAAAAAGACTCAGACACACATGGCCATTATTTGAATATTTCCTTTGCGGGGGGGAGCATGGAACCACCTGGTTTGCCAAAGCTTACTGGCTTATGTGCTTGCCAGCTGAAAGATTGCCGTTTGGTGCCTTGGAGCCATGCGCATTTAGTCTTTTGTAGCCACACAGCCAACCCCCATGTTGCCCCACCCCACGGCTACTTGGAATTCTGGGAAGGCAGAGGAGCAATGATGCTGGACGTAAGCATGAGAACATAAGAAGATGTGCCAGTCCAATGGCCCATTTAGTCCAGCATCCAGGCCAGCAGGCCAAACGTGACCCACCAGGGATAAAATTTGGCCCACAAAGCTGTTTCCCCCCCCAAAATTATGCCATCAGGGGTGTGGCAGATAGGAATGTGGCTGCCAGTGCCACAGTGGGGCTGGCAGCAGGGTCAGGGAGGGGTCAGGGGTCAGATCTGCCACAATGACCTTGGTAGCATGTTAGGTAAGGGTGCTGAGAGTTGCTAGCAGACCCCTATTCCCCTTAGGTAAAGGTAAAGGGTAAAGGGACCCCTGACCATTAGGTCCAGTCATGGACAACTCTGGGGTTGCGGCACTCATCTCGGTTTACTGGCCAAGGGAGCCGGCGTACAGCTTCCAGGTCATGTGGCCAGCATGATTAAGCCACTTCTGGTGAACCAGAGCAGTGCACGGAAACGCCGTTTACCTTCCCGCTTGTGCAGTACCTATTTATTTACTTGCACTTCGTGCTTTTGAACTGCTAGGTTGGCAGGAGCTGGGACCGAGCAATGGGTGCTCACCCCGTCGCGGGGATGCAAACTGCCACCCTTCTGATTGGCAAGTCCTGAGCTCTGTGGTTTAACCCACAGCACCACCCGCGTCCCCCTATTCCCCTTACAGAGCTACAATTCTCAGAGTAGTTTAACTGTCGATTTGCTATTCCCACTGAACTCTGGGAATTCTGGCTCAGTGAGTGGAATAGGAGTATCCTTAACAACTCTCAGTACTCTTATCAAACTACATTTCCCATGAAGCTTTGGGAGAAGCATTTACAGCGGTATGATACTGATTCATAGCGTAGATGGCGCCTGAACGTGTTTTGCTCGGCATAAAGAAGTTCTAAAAATACGTGTGTATCTAGCTTTCCAGAGTATTTGAACAGAGGAAACATTATAGTCTCTGTGACCTTGCATGAACTGCCACCAAATTTGAGAGTGCTCTGATACTATCAGGTCCAGTGACAGATTATTGATTAGGCAATCCAAACTCCAGACACCGGTTTTTGTTTTCCAATGAATTATTTTTTTGGCAATAGATATGAAAGAGGCATCCCTTCCAGGAAATATCTGGTTTCAATTTCCTGACCATAGAGTCTTTTAATTGCTAACCGAGTGCTCTCTGGAGTGTTGAAAGAGCTCAATGAAAGAAAGAAAAATTGCCCATATGAAATATTATCCTCACGGTGAATTGTTTTTCTGGTGGATTCAGATGACCATTTTCTCTTCTCACTGGGTGATAATTTCTGAAGTCAATGCATAAAAGGATCCCTGTATGGATTCTGCAATAGTCATTTCTGAAAGTTACAGGGGTGGAATTAGGGGTGGGATGGGTTTGCAGCATCTCCAAAGAATAGTGGTCACAGAATTTATTTATTAAATTTATATCCTGCCCTTCATCCAAGGAGCTCTTTTCACCTGTGTCGAAAGAATTCTATTGGCCATGGGTTAGCTCAATCGGTAGAGCATGAGACTCTTAATCTCAAGGTTGTGGGTTCAATCCCCATGTTGGGCAAAAGGATTCCTGCATTGCAGGGGGTTGGACTATACGTATGACCCTTGTGTTCCTTTCCAACAATGCTATGATTCCCCCAGTTTGTTACTGAGCCTGCTTGGAAATTCTGCTTCCTCTTTCAGGGGGCAAGAAATCAGTAGTCACTGTAACCTCAGTTAAATTTACCTTTTTTTTTTTACCTAAAAGAACAATGCTGTGTCTTGTTAATAAAGAGTTCAATATGAAAAGGGAAGAAATAAAGGCCCATAGAACATATTTTTTACCTACCTGCTGGTCCCTCCCCCCCTATGTAATTATAGCCTCAACATTATAGGCTGTTGTATTCCTATTTGTAACTTGATTCTATTGAGGAAAAAGGGCTATATATACACATGCAGCAGGACATCAATAATGGAAACAAATCCATTGAAGAGAAAGTGCGACTGACCTGCATGGACAACCTCCAGAGTTAAAGGAAATTCGGCAACCAGTAAGAAAGAATCAGCATCCATAAGGGCTGAGAGATGGGGGGAAAGGCCCTGCCCTATACAAACTTTAGCTTAGGAAAGAAAGTCGCTGCCTTGATGGGTTGCATATACCCCACCTCCCACAGACCTGTGGTATTTTTTTTCTAACCTCTGTAGTGCACTGCCAGCTTGAAGATGGTGATTATCCACTTAAATTACACTAACCTGTCAAAGTAAGTAGAAAAAGGGGAAAGTTTGAGATGTGTCCAACAGCAGCACTGGTAAACCACTGAAAGAGATTTCAGAAACATTCTTGGAGGACCAACTTTCTAAATTTCAATAAGGAATATTCCACAGATAACAACACCACTTTTCAGAGATGCATGGATGGAGGAGGAGATGCGGTACAAAGAATCATGGGGATCCAGAACAAGTTTTTATCATTTGTAGAACCTGAGATGAGGCAAAATATACAAGCACTAGTTGTCTTATTTTTCTGGTGAGAAACTAGCCTGTTTTCCCCCATCCCCCAGTGTTTTACTTATCTGCCAGTCCACCCCTTCCTTCTGGGGGGGAAATCCTACAGCCACCTATGCAGAGAAGTTAGTATTGCAATGACCAGCATTGTGAGGTGTTTTGTTTTGTTTTTGAGACCTCGTGTAAAATCATGCAAATTTCCATTTAATTCTACTGGATCTGACTTTTATCCAGGTATGAGTGTGTGTTTCTGTCTATGTCTTGGAGAGATGACCCAGGCAACAAAGTATATTATAACATATATAATAGAACTGACAAACCTAGACAGCATCTTAAAAAGCAGAGACATCACCTTGCCGACAAAGGTCTGTATAGTTAAAGCTATGGTTTTCCCAGTAGTGATGTATGCAAGTGAGAGCTGGACCATAAAGAAGGCTGATAGCTGAAGAATTGATGCTTTTGGATTATGGTGCTGGAGGAGACTCTTGAGAGTCCCATGGACTGCAAGAAGATCAAACCTATCCATTTTGACGGAAATCAGCCCTGAGTGCTCACTGGAAGGACAAATCGTGAAGCTGAGGCTCCAATACTTTGGCCACCTCATGAGAAGAGAAGACTCCCTGGAAAAGACCCTAATGTTGGGAAAGATGGAGGGCATAAGGAGAAGGGGACGACAGAGGACAAGATGGTTGGACAGTGTTTTTGAAGCTACCAACATGAGTTTGACCAAATTGGGAAGGGAGTGGAAGACAGGAGTGCCTGGCGTGCTCTGGTCCATGGGGTCATGAAGAGTCAGACACGACTAAATGACTAAACAACAACAATAGAACTGCAACTTCCTATATACTAACAGCCAGCTTGTTCTGCGGGTGCCAATCCTTATATCACCAAAATGATTCTTCTCCCATCCCATCTCAAACAAGAGGGAGAGATCAGCTGACTTGGAGAGGGGAATCCCAAAGTTTTGCAGCAACACACACACACACACACACACACACTCAACAAGTACTATCTAAAGAGGCAGGGACCCAGCAACAAATCTGAGCATGTTCAGTGGGCACTGAGGGCTAAGTGTCTGTTGGAGGGAGGGGGTGGAATGGAGTTTCCTTGAAGAGGGCATTGCTGGCTGGCTCAGACACTGAACAAGACATTGCAGCATTTTGCTGAAAGTCCCACTTGTTAACTGGATTTGCAGTGAATCTTATGCAGGTATATACTACAGAAACTCAAAAGCAAGCCCTTATTGAGTTACTTAACTGAGAGGGAAGCATGTGTAGGATTGTAGCCTGAAAACATCTTGATTGACTAAAACAGGCACTCCGGTAAATCAAGCCACAGGTTTAAAAACGTTGTTTTGCATTACTTTTAAAATGCAAGTATTTAAAGCACCATTGGACACAATGGGATGTGCATGGCAGAGCAGTATACAGCAGCAGACTCCGCCTCTTGACCTATATGCATATTCATGCAGCCCTTATAGGTTTGAGACTTCAAGTCGGCCATTGGGGATTGGCATCATTGGGCTAATGCTCACACCCCAGTAGGGGGAGCAATACCAATTCATGGGGTCTCCTGGCCCTGCTATTCCCCCTCCTGGCTTGTCTGTGCCCTCTTTAGACGAGCAGTGAGAGGAGCACAGAGAAGGAGCAAAAACATCCACATTCCTTGTCCTCTCTTGGTATCCAGCAACTGAAGCCAGAAGTGAGGGAAGCAAAGGAGGCTTCCTTTCCCGGGGAACTATCCACTGGGGGCATCTTGATCAAGGGAACCCACACTATGGGGCTATTTGATTTTTCATGTCATCAAATGAATGACTGGACTCTCTTTTATGGAATGACAGCCCTGATAGGCAATGCTCTTTGAACAATAAAACAAGCTTACTGTGAATCATAGAACCATAGCATTGCAGTGTAAAGTCTAATGTTTCAATGGCAAGGTCAACCGTATTCAGCACCCGACATCAAACGAGAGAAATTTACAAAATGCCACTAACAGGCTAGGCAAAGTTGTGAAATCTAGTTCCCATGCAAATTGGGCCAGGTCCAACGGGCACGTAAGCTCCGGGGCATATTTAGTGCTCACCAGGAACTAGATCATATGACATGAAAGTACGTCCTGGAATTACTGAATAGGTATTGTGGAAGGTGGGGTGGGCAGAACACTGCCGACACTGGGTCTGTATATATAGCAGAGCAACATAGCCTGCCCTTGACACACCAAGCAAATGCACACATGCCGTTTCCTTGTGTGTTAAGAAGAATGTTCTGTGCAGCCGAAGTGTTCTGCCAGGTAGCCTTTGCATATAAGGAAATGCCGTGTCTGCAGTACCCTTTAAAAGGGCTGGAGGGAAGGAGGGGGGGACTAAGAACAACACGGACTATTGTTCATCACAGAGATCTAGTTCTCCCTGGAAAGGGGTGTGTGTGAAAGCCTATGGGGACATGGCCTTAGGGCAGCATAACCAAACCTGTTCCGTATTACCAGTGTAGTTTTACAGACTGCATTCCTCCAGTGAGGCGAAAAGAAACTTCACTGTAGTTATTTAAACCATTTTGCTGATAATCCTATGCACACTTACAGGTAAACATATGTAGAACTGGCGTGTTGATCGTACAGCCTAACCCTCTTTTAGAGGATTGTTGTCTAGGAAGTCGTTTTAATGATGCACAGGTGGTTCTGCATTTTTCTTTTCCCTGCTCAGAAATGGCACTTTATTTTCATTATTTCAAATCTGCTACAAGTCCTAGGAACTATGTTTTTTCTCCCTGCACTCTGGGAGATCAGAGTTCTGCTGAATTCACGGAGACAGCTGTGCAATAAATAGCATTGGGGATTGCAGTTTGCAGAAGAGAAAACACACCCTTCTGCCCAATGGGAATATATATGTGTAAAATAAAATGTCATTGTACTTATGTGTGGCCTCAGGGGTGTGCAGGGGTGGAAAATGTATGTTGTCTCAGATCACCTGTTCCTAATCCAAACAAGAAAATAACCAAATCAAAGCATCTCCCCCCACCCCGCAAGACAAACGTTCACCAGGTGACTTCCTACTATTTAAGGCTGCATACAAAATATCTCACCCTGTCTGTATATTTCAATGTGTGGCTTCAATGCATTAAAATTGCCCCTTGTGTTACTTACAAAGTGTTACAGCAGGAGCAGTTTGACAGTTAAAATGCCGCAAAATTGCATTTAATCACGCACTTCCCCTCAACGTGAGATGAGCTAGGTTCCCTTCAAAGTATTTCCTAGCTTAGTGGTGCTACAGTGAAGAACCTATTTCTTACAACAGCAACAGCAATAATACTGGCAAGTGCTTAATAAGATCTATTCCATAAAAATGTTTTCCACCACATCTAACCTGCTCACCACCTTCCATCACAGCTAACACCATCATGCAAGCTTCTCTGGTATGGAATTGTTTTCCAATAGTTAGACCAGTACTTCAGAAATGTGGGTCACAATGCAGTCCTAGCCATGTCCACTCAGAAGTAAAGATTCACTGAATTCCATGAGGCTGGCTCCGGGGTTAGTAGGGTTAGGATTGCAGCCTCAAGCCCTTCCTCTCCTCATTTTTATTACCTTGTAATTTCTGGTTGTATTCACTCCTGTCGGACTGACTCCTCCTCAAAGTCCCAGAGCTGTTGTGGTCTCCAGAAATATGACTCTCCACCACCGTGTCTGTCTTCCTCCTCTCCAGCATGTACAGCCTGTGCCTTATGAAGGTCAAGTTTTTTTTCCTGGCCCCCACACTTTCTTTCCCAGGTGGCTCTTTGGTGTCCATTTCCAGACCAGAGCAGGAAAAGAAAGGAGATGGAAAAGGAAGAAACCTGATTGAGTAGAAAAGCTAAGCTGGTTCTCCCTTGCAGGAGGTGTGTTTGCCTGCTTGTTGCTTGGGTGAATGGAGCAGCTTCTCCAATGGATCAGCTGTCTTGCCCAAGTTCCACTTCTTACCTGACTCACCTGACTGCCACCTCTGCAGCCTAGCAGGGCTCCACCCCTATGAAGTCATCCTTTAGTTACACTGACTGGGGAACCAGACACCTGTTACCTGAGAGACTTGCAGCACAGGGCATGGCATAGCAGCAGGGACTGATCAGCTGGCAAGGCCCTTTCGGGAGCATGCAGGCTCACTTGCATATCTTCCCCTCATTTTTACATCTCTTTCTTTTTAACACCTTTTTATCTATGTGAAAACAAACTCATGCATGGTTTTAATTCTGCTTCTCCACCCTCGGAATATCCTGTCCTTTAGGTGAAGTAGGTGGAGACTTTGCATATCTTTACACTTGACAGGCAGTGGACACCTGAGTCATTGTCATGCAAGGCAAGGTGAGAACATCTCTATTCTCATGCTTCAGGGCATGATTAACTAACCCAGATAGAGGTCAATGTTTTTTATAGCTCAATCCAATGCTTAGCTGCAAGGCCTTTTTATGATTACAAGGTTGCATTTATTTATTTTATGGTTGGAACAAAATTATACATATATTCCCTTCACTCAATTGAAACATCTTGTATTCGGATAATCAGCAACTGTAACATTTAGGTACTGTGAACTGCAAGGAGCAAAATAAGTTTGTTTTTTTAAAAAAATGCTTTTTAAAAAACAAAACTTGACCTTCCTCCAAATCGCTGAGAGTAGCATACAAGGTTACCCTGCCCAATTATCCTCACAATTACTGTTCATTTTTTTAAAAAATAAATAAAACCTGCCTTTCTGTTTATACAGATAGTAGATTGGAGTGCAATCTGTCTATATATTTTTTTTAAAACCCACACAATACAATTCTAAATAAACAATAGAGAGGACAACAGTGGCAGAGCAGGTCAAACAGTAAAACCCTTAAACTGCCCAGGTGGATAAACTTAAGTCTTGACATGGTTCCAAAATGTTAACAAGGCTGGAACCAGTTGCACAGCTAAAGGGACGGCATTCTGCAGATGGGGCACCACCACAGAGAGGCTCCTCTCCAAGCATCACCACAAAAGGCAAGTGTCCTCAGGATGGGATGCAGGGAAGAGCCATCTATGAGGATCTTAAGGCACAAGAACCCTGTGAGATAGATTCAGGTAGGTAGCCGTGTTGGGCTGATGCAGTCGAAATAAATTAAAAAATTAAAAAAATCTCCAGTAGCACCTTAGAGACCAACTAAGTTTGTTCTGGGTATAAGCTTCTGTGTGCATGCACACTTCTTCAGATATCTGTGAGGTAGGTGAGGTTGAGAAATGGCAACTGGTGGCCCAAACCCTACCAGCGAGCTAGCTTAGTGGATATGCTCTTGATATGCTAACATACCTGGACAGTTCTGGAGTCTTGGGTGCAGAATAAGGTGAATAAGGTGAATAAAGTGGCAGGGAAGGGAAGGGAAATGTAGGTGGGGGAGTCATCTTCCCACCCATGTTTTGCCACCCAGACACAACAAAAGCTGTTGCTTCAGCTGCTGCTAGAAGTACTTCTTCTTCAGTAACCGTTTCCTCCTTGAAAGAATGACCTTAGGGAAGAGGACCTCAGGGAGGAGAAAATATGGCCCGTGTAGTATCATAGAAACACAGTCTACTCAGTCAGTTCGTAACAGGAACATGCTTTATTATCTCATTGCAGGCAGAGCTTTCTTGTGGATCTCTCTGGCTCACTTAACAAGCCTCTACGGAAGCACCACAGGGACAAACTAGGTCTGGCAATAACAGACAGAGAGCAAGTGGAAGTCGCTCTTTTAATAACATTGCCCATATGCAAAGTGCCTAAAGCACGAATATTCCTGCCCAGAATATTAAATCTTTCATTTGCAGAGAGAATGAGCATTTGGGTGGATGCAAATGAAGAATTTACTGGTAGGATGTTAAAAATAATCCGATCAATGATAGTAAAATGGCTGTTACTGTTTAGCTAATCAGGTTTCAGATGGAAGATGCATACTAAGATACACTGAAATATGTAGCAACTAGCTTCAACAAAAAGCACTTATATGTACAAGGAAGAGCATAAACCATTTATTTCCCCGCGCACAATGGAAGCACACACTGTCCTCATGTTAGCTGCAGCCTTGCCAATGTTAATGTTCATATGAATTTCCTTTTTATAAGATAGCTTTTTCTTAAGTGGGGAAACAGGTGCTGGTCTCCGAGTGGAAAACATTGGTGCTGTGTTCCCAGGCAACATCATTACAAGTGTATCAGTAGTTATTGTTCTATGCTCACTGCTAATCCTTGTCCGCATCTCCAGTGGTGAATGTGCCTTTATCATGCCTCTGATAGCTGCTAGGTAAACCAAATGTTCCTTTTCCTTTGCAGCCAACTCCTTCTGATTGGTATAGGGCATTTCTTTGTAATCTAGTGAAAATAACATCTGGGGTATTTTTAACAATGATTGCAATTTTGCAAACCAAGGCTTAGTTCTGATGCAAATGTGACTTTAAAAAAATACAACAGCAGAGCCATAAACTTGGAAGAGCTTCAAGGTCATCTTGCCCAATTCCCTGCTGGTGCAGGAAATCCACTGATAACCTTATCCTTCATAGGTGTCCATCCAGCTGATGCTCAAAGACCTCTAACCAGGCAGTACATTTCACTGTCAATAGAACCATTGCAAGACTTCAGTGGGCTCTCGGCATGGTGCTTTTGATAGGCCCCAATACGAAGGGGCAGTGCAACAGTTGACCTTGGCTCCCAATAAAAGTGGAACCTGGCCCAACTGCATTGGTGGCCAATTGAGTTTCCGGGCCCAATTCAAATTGCTGGGTTTGACCTACAAAGCCTTAAATGGCTCAGAACTGCAGTATCAGAAGGACCACCTCTCTCCATATGCAACCATCATCTGAGGCTCTTCTTCGTATGCCACAACAGGTCCCATGGGCATTTTCTGCAGTGGCTCCCCGTTTCTGGAATTCTCTCCCCGAGGAGGCTCTCTTGGTGCCTTTATTATAACATGTTTCTAGATATCAGACGAAAACGTTTCTCTTTAATGAGTCCTTTGCCTGTTTAACATTCTATGTGGGGGTTTTTGTGGAGGGGGTTGTTTTTGTTTTTATTATGTAATTTGTGTTTTCGTTTTGCATGTTGTGAACTGCCCAGTGAACTTCAGATGAAGGGTGGTATAATAAAACTGAAATAAAACTATCCGTGGGTACAAAGGCTATCCTGGGGGAGAAAGTGGGGAGTGGTGGCACTCCCACATTAGGAAAGGGCTATTGAACTCATGTTCCTATTTGTGAGCTTCTCAGAGGCATTGGGTTGATCTGCTGTGAGAAAGAGGATGCTTCGACTAGATAGGTGGCCTTTGAGTGATCTAGGAAGGCCCCATAGTTCCCTTATACAGTCATACCTCGGGTTACAGATGCTTCGGGTTGCGTGTTTTCGGGTTGTGCACCATGCTGAACATGGAAGCACTGGAACAGGTTATTTCCGGGTTTCAGCGCTTTGCGCATGAGTGCCGGATCACCTGCAGACATGACGCTGCGGGTTGCGAATGTACCTCCTGCAAGGATCACATTCGCAACCCAAGCGTCTACTGTATAATAAACACACAAGGACACGGATAGTGATCTGGTTTGGCTTAGGCATTGGATGAAACCAGACTACATCCTGGCTCCTGCACTCTTAAGTCTCTTAAGGGTCAACCACTGGTAGGGGGAGCACCCCCAATTAAGAGCACCCCCAGGGTCCCCAATGGGGTTGTGGCAGGGCCCTAGCCCACGCACAGGCTTCGGACAGAATCCACACCCCCGGACCCCTTTAATGGGATACCCTTATCGAGGAGGGGCAGGCAGAGGCAACAACCTCCCCTCCCATCACAAAGGCTTACCTAATGCCTAACCTCACAGTTATGACGATTGCTACAAGGTAGGCGAAAACCAAATGGCTGGTGCCAATTTGCCATGTGGGAAAAATTCCTAAGTGACCCCATCAATATGGCGGCCGACATATGTCCATAGCAAGGTCATGTCAAACCAAAGCTTAAAAAGAGGGCGGGTGGGCTGGGAGATCTGGTGAGGAGGCGAGAGGAGGCAGCCCCCCCGGCTGCACTGCAGTTTAAACGTCTTGTGGCCACGCCCCCTGGCTGTACAGATTGGTCGGCCAGCAGCGTGACACAGCTGGGAGTCTCAGTGATGTGGGCGGCATCCCTCTGCCCCCAATCTGAGTCACTGGGGGTCCTGGATGTCAGTCTGCAACACTGCCCCGCCCCCAGATAAGGGAAGCAGGCTTCTCATGTTCTTATCGCCAGAGTCTCAGGAGGAAAATCTCTCCCAGCCAGGCTACTTGAGATCCTCTGATGAGAGATACAAGAGATTGAATCTGGAATCCTAACACATAAAAGGCTGTGCTCTCTGCCCACCATCACTGTGAAATGAGCCCTTTTTGTGTCACACAATTTAATTACATGGCCATTCAGGGTTTTACAAGAAGACCAAAGTCACTGCGAACGGAAAGACCATTGTCAATGGAAGTAATCTACGGGTAAAAAAAGTAAACATTTCAACTCCTTTTTTTTCAAACTTTTAGAGCTCTGCAGAAAGCACACATTTGAGATAGCATTTATCAGTGAACCCTTTCTAATGAGCCCTTGGCTGCAGGAAAGCTCCCAAGGAAGAAATCACAGAGGTGGAAATGAGTGATTAAAAAAAAACAAAACCACCAAACCTATACATGGCTGTGTTTCAGAGGACTTTGAACATTGCACCTATGAACTTTTATGTAATTTCTCCTCAGTTAACAGTGGCAAGATAAGAACAGACCCATGATGAAAGCAACAACAAGAAATGTAGGTAGCCAAAGGAATAAATATGGCACCTATTGGCTGCTTATTAATGATAAATCAAAGCTCCAGTGTTAAGAGTAGTTTCTCATGGTGGGGTAGTAAACTGATAGAGTTAGCAGCCATTATACAGTTTCTGTGCTTGCCATGCCTATTTAGAGAACATTGGATATTTATTTGATTGATTGACTGATATACTGCCCTTCATCATAA